AGTAGGCGTTTTGGGACATGATGGATGTGTAGTTATTTGGTGATGTTGATATAATAATATATCACTTTGATAAGACCACGGGGTTTTAGCCGTGGGGAAACGGGTCCTTGCACTAATCTCTTATCAGCACCTTTATCGTAGAACGGATTATTGAAGAACAAAAGAATTATGTACATACCGAAGACTGAGATCAGTCAGGCCTTGGGCTCGATCGATCGCACAGATGCTCAGACCAGGTATGTTGCCTCAGGAACCAAATGAGAAGATGGAGGATCTGAAAACGGAGCAAGGGGCATAGGAATTTCAATTTTAGGCTAGGAAGACAATGGCTTGGAGAACTTGGAGAAGGATGAAAGAAGGGAGAATAATGGAGTTGAGCGAGACCTTAAGAGGAAGAGGTTACTCCAGCTTGCGTTATTGGGAGGGGCTGGGAGGCTGGGAACGGGAGAGTCTCAAGGTACCCGCTTTGGGTTAGTCCATGTCCCAGCCCCGATCAATTATCTAAGAATATTAACCAATCAGAGGTGAGTACAGGGTCCCATTAAGCCTATCTGGGTTAGTTTGACGATCACGGGACGCTCAGGGCAAGTAAACACCCGCGACCAGGCAAGCGCTGGGGGGTTGGGCAGGCAACCGATAAGCATCAAGATCTGTATATCACATACATATTGTATGATATCATGGAGCTGTTTTGATATTGATGCTTGGTCTGTTTGAGCCTTTAAATGCTCGGCGAGAAATTTACGGTTCTTGCGTAAAAAATACTTTGCACCTATAAAACTTGACTGAAATTATATACGGAGTACATAAGATTAATTTATTTACTTAATCTAGAGCGAAAAACACTATGTATCTAGCATGTCAGAGCAGTGGAAGGGCCTCTATAAAAATAATACGCAAGGGCACCTCTTGTTTACTACCTGAAGTAGTTGGTACCAGCCCTCTTCAGCGGGCGAAAGCAAGGATCAGGTCTTTTGGATTTCTACTAACATCTTTTGGTTTTAACAATAAGAAGAAGATTGGAATATCTTATATCAAATACATGCTGAGTATCGGAAGACTATTTGGCTCAAAATATAACTATTTACTCCTTGTACTATTTTCTGTAGTCTCCCGGGGTCAGTACATGCCGATGAATAGTGGATGTGATGAAACACGGCTTTTCTAGCCACTAGTAATTGGCTTGAGGGGTATCTAGTAGAGGTTTCAAGTCGCTGCTATGAAGTTACGCTGGATATCTGTTTGTGATATGGTATTGCTCAAGATGTATATATCCGACGGAAAGGCCAACTATTGGCTAACTATGGGCCAAAAAGGCATCAAATTGCCACCAATCCATGTTTAATATTGAGATATTATTACAAGATAGATTTAGATATCTCTATAACATATACTGCTATAGGTTGATGCAAAAATATGTTTTAGATCTGTTTGGTACGAAGTAATTCATTGTTCAGGACTAAATTGGTTGATGCCTGAGGCGGCAATTGCGGGATTGTGAGACCTTAGAAATGTAAACAATCCGCTTCGTCCGAAACATTTCTAGACTTCTTGTTCTTCATTCTTTTGCGCCCAAGACCACGATTCTGACAGGGCTGAAACTGCCACTGCGAATTTCCCCCGCCCTCCACATTCTTTGTCCCGCTCCTTATCATCGGACATGAGCATCCGAATTTCTTGACGTGCGACTTTCTCCCTGACCGAAGACCAACATCAATAACTAGAACGCCAATATGGAAGGGCAGCCTACGACATCCACACGCCCCGCAAGCGGTATACCACGCCCTGCAAGCGGTATTCCACGACTTACTTCAAGATTGCCTTTACCCACGACCACCGCATCAAAATCGATCAAACCCTCACCTTCCCGAGACAGACTACGAGCCGATCCTGGCCTGGATGAAAGGAGATTGCGAAGACCATCTTATAATACGCTCGTGAAAAAACCGTCTTCGCACCATCTGTCACCACCTAAGCCGCAGGGTGATCCTATCCCGGCCCTCAAACAAGACAATATCCAAGGCGGGGAAGACGACAAACATGTTCCAGAGGAGGCGAGCTCGAATGCTGGAGATGATGACACTGCATCAATTGCATCGGCCCAAGAAGCACGCGGTCGCCGTGGAATACGCCCATCTTTGTCCGAACGTACACTTGAGACGCTAGCGCAAATTCCACCATCACCGGCTTCGGTGAGAAGGCAGTCCAGCTTTTTCAATGGCGGCAGCCCGGTACGATCCCCATCTCGTGCCCCGTCCAATGTGTCCAATGTTTCGAGATCGCCATCGCAGGCATCATCTTGCGCACCGCCTACCAACGAGCTATATATCCAGCCTGTTTCAAAGCTGCGTCTTCCCTCAAAGGCTCCTATGTCGACTGCTGGATCTCTTTCTCCAGTCCGCGGCTCAGAAGACAGCGTGAGCCCATCAAGAATGAAGCGGCCATCACTCAGGCAAAGTCTTGCACCAGGAGACGGTGTCTCTACGGACATCAGTTCGCCGCTCAGGAAAAATATACCCGAAAGACCGATTGGCAACAAGGATACATCTAAACCCTCGCTTATCCGCCCATCACCCGGCAAGGCTGGCACAAAGCCCGATAAGTCAAATATGGGTCCCCCAGAAAGACCCCTTCAAGTGAAGAAAACAAGAAAACCCCAAACAGGGCAGGCGTCTACTCTACGCTCTCCCTCGATGGGTTCAAGATATGTGTCTGCTTCTTCCAACATGGCTGACGACCTGTCTCCGGAGCAACAGGCAGAACTCGAAGCCAGAAAAGTCTCCAAATCGTCCAGTACGCTACGTGAAACTATAGCAAAGGCAAAGGCTGCCCGCAAGGCGATAGCGGCTGTAGATAAAAAGGAGAGCCCGCAAAAGCAAGTCTACCAGGCCCCGCCAATCGATGCGCCTCTTGATTCGTGGGCAGGCGGCGACGATGAGGATTCTTTCGGCCAACTGCCCAAGGGGTCTAACTCCTTGGTGATGCGGAAGCGTGTACAGACAGCACGCGCGACCGGCCAGTTGAACATCGCAGCGTTTTCCTTGAAGGAAATCCCAAAAGAAGTGCTGACGATGTACGACTATGACCCAGAGAACTCCGCAAACTGGTTCGAAAATGTTGATCTTGTCAAGTTTAATGCCGCGGACAATGAGCTGGAACATATCTCAGATGACACCTTCCCTGATATCAACCCAGAGGAGTTTGATCCTGATAGCGATGACCGAGGACTTCAATTTGGGGGCCTTGAAACGTTGGATCTACATGGGAATATACTGAAGTCACTTCCAATGGGTCTTCGACGTCTGCAAAATTTACGCACTCTCAACCTGTCGAATAATTCTTTGGACATGGCCAATATCGAAACCATCGCAGAGATAAAGTCTCTAACCGATCTGAAACTTGCGAATAATCAACTGCAAGGGGAACTAACTGCCGCCATTGGTCGTCTTCCTAACTTGGAGTTTTTGGATCTGCGTGGCAATGCTCTCACCAAACTTCCAGACGAGCTCGTTGATTTGAGTTCTTTGAGAACATTGGATGTTAGTGAGAATAAGTTCACTTCTTTGCCGTTCGAGATCCTTTGCAAACTTCCCCTGAAAACGCTGAATGCACAGAAGAACAGGCTGGAAGGCACTTTGATACCGGCATCAGTGACCAAGTTGGAGACATTGCAGTCCCTGAATATCGCTAATAATGCTGTGGTGGTCTTCTCCGCAAATGACGCGCTCGAACTTTCTGATTTACATACCCTCCTGATCGGTGTCAATCGCATCACGCATCTCCCATGCGTGGCTTCTTGGCAGTCATTATTAACACTGTCTGCCGAGGAAAACAAAATTGCCGAGCTTCCACAAGGGTTTGCAGAGCTCAAGAACCTCAAGAAGGCCGATTTCACAGGAAATTCTCTCACGCATTTGGATGAGAAGATTGGATTAATGGAAAATCTTGCCTCTTTGCGGGTTTCCAATAACCCACTTCGTGAGCGCAGGCTGCTGAGAATGGACACCGACGATATCAAACGAGACTTGCGGAGCCGCTGTGAGCCTGATCCCCAGGACACAGATGACGAGGGCTCAGTGGCCACCCAATTCACTCTAGCGCCCGAGAGTCCCGCGCTCGATGGCAGCTGGGAGATTAAATCCGGTGGGACTCTTGACAAGTCTTATGCCGAAATGACCGACCTTAAGGTGGAACAGCTAGAGATGATTCCATCGCTAGACATTCGATGTCTTTATTTGCAGCACAATGAGCTGAGCTGTTTCCCGGCTGCTGCCATTGGAGTGCTTGCGCAGAGTCTCGTTGAGCTTGATCTCTCACACAACCCCTTGAATGGCGCTGACTTCTTGTCTTCCCCACTTGAGTTGCCAAAGCTTCAGTCGCTGACTTTGAACGCGGACGGCTTGACGTCATGGGAGCCTCTCTTATCCAACCTGATAGCCCCATCTTTGACCTTCTTGGATGTATCGCACAATCGTTTGAAGGGGCCACTCCCTCATCTGAGACAGATTTACCCAGAGCTCAAGACCCTTGTAGCCTCTGACAACCAGATCGCTAGTTTGGACTTCGAAGCCGTAAAAGGGTTGCAGGTCTTGGAGCTAAGCAACAATGACCTCGATTCGCTTCCTCCGAAGATTGGCTTGCTGGCTGCTGGACGCTCTCCTCAGAATTGGGGCAATGGATCGGCCTTGAGACGTTTCGAGGTGGCTGGCAATCGATTCCGAGTACCTCGCTGGCAAGTAGTTGCGAAAGGAACCGATGCGATTTTGGAGTTCTTGCGAGAGAGGATTCCTATTAGTGATCTGCCGGAATGGGAGCAGGAACACGCAGCTCCTGAGGAAGAGTTCTAAGACGTCTATTTGGAGGTCATAATTTAAACAGGCTTGTATAATATCACCATGTTTGTTCTATGTACATATACATAATATCGCTGTCCATGCTTTTCCCGGGCTTTTGTCATCTTATCATCAGCTTCTTTGCAGCTTCGTGACAGATAATTACATTCAGTTTTCTTCAATTGACTTGCTGACCTCGTCAATCACCTTGAGCCACGTCTTCGACCATGCAGCGAACTTGTCTGCAGGTGCATCGTCCTTAACATCCGCAGCGCCCCAGGGCGACGCGACCAACTCCACCGCTTGTGTGGCACACTTCTTCGTCTTCCGCAGATACTCAGCAGAGGTTTCAAAATTGGCGTCATACAACGCGCCAGCTGCCTCGTCGACATTGTCTGGGATGGCTTGCAGATTTAGCATCAAGGACTCCAGCTTCTTGACACCCAACGAAGAAGCCAACGGCGCATTTCCGGCATTCTTCAGCCGGTTGTTGATGATAGCTGGGTAGGCCTGAGCGATAGGCTTTAAGAAACGAAGGGTAGATTTCTTGTGTTCCTGGAGAGCAGCTGTCTCTTCTTCGTCATCCTCATCATCGTCCTCATCATCATCTTCATTCTTCCCCTCATCACCCAGAATGTCATCAAAGAAACCATCGTCCTCTTCTTCTGGATCCCAATCCTCAATTTCCTCAACCGCGTCGCGAACCAGGTCCCTCCACTGCTCCACGCGGCGCATGACAAATCCAACAACGCCCTTATTCGCAACATCGGTCGCAGCATCGCACGCATCCCAGGTACGGCCTGTAGCGAGCATCACGGCATCCTTCTCGGATTTCGTCACACCGCTCTCCTTCCCTGTATCCTTCTTCTCCTGCTTTTTCTTTTCTCCGACAGATTTGACCTCCCGAACCAGCCCGGAAAGCTCCGTCAAAGCTGTCTTGACAAGAACTAATACCTCGGAGTGAAAGGCCTTGGTGTATTGCGCTGGTGTAACGAGAAGGGAAGCGGTCACGAGGGACGGCAGTATAGATTCATTGAGCTCGCGGAGCACAGTGCTAACAGCGGAATGCGTGAAGGGCGAGGTAACAGCCAGCAGGGAGAGTTTCGTGACGTGTCCTTTGAGCGCGCTCGAGGAGGCCGTTAGGAGGGGCAGGGTTTCGGCATCGTTTGCGGCTTCGGTTGCGGCTGCTGGGGGCGCGGTGAGGGCTATTTGAAATTGGCCGATGAGGGTGAGAGTTGTGTCAAGAATGGTGAATAATTGATTGGACATTGTGAGGGTCGTGGGCTGGCCAGGGGTTGGGTTGGAGGGGAGTGTAGTAGAGAAAAAAATTGGGCGGTTGGGTCTGATAATTATCGCGGGGCTGATTAGGGCTCTGCGGGGTCACCTGGGATTTTTATGTCAAAGCTGTAGCTTAAAGCTGGTTTAATTGGCCTGCTGTTTACATATGACTATGTTGATCTTGATCTCTATTTTTCTTTTTCTTTTGTTTCAAAGATGGTGATGGTTCGTTACTAACACCCTTCTAGTAGATCCCTCGTTTATCTTGAATCAAGTCATGAAGAGCTCCCAACAAGCCAAATATCATCTAATAGCTATGCATGGCTTGTATTTGATTGAAGCCTATATATCCCAACGTAGTAAAACTGCCTTGCCTATTTTTGCTCAGTAAAACCAAGGGGTCCTTGAGTGACCCGAGTATGTATCACGTGCCTCATATTGTGTCCCTAGATGTAGAGTCCAATTGAAATATTTTGACGGTGTAACTATATACTGGTAAAATGATCTCATGTAATTGATCAGATGTACCTACCTGCACAGGTAGCGGCCTGTTTTCTGCTCTGGATTATAGATGCCCAACTGTACCTTTTACCCTACTATGTACATTGATGTATATATTAAGCTAAACATCTCCGCCTTCCGGCTCGCTAGTAGACAAGTAAAGAATGACACACCCTGTGACAATAACCGAAATCCCAATCTCATTATAATACAAAGGATAACTCCCCTCAGCGCGTAGTCTGCGTAAACTCCTTGTCGACTCTAATCTCAGTTAGAGGAATCTCATCCCCATCAGAACGATCCCCAACTCTCGGGCCCAACACATTGGTGTACGTCTTCGCATTATCATACTCCGGTCTGAACGAGGCATCTATTCGTGCCTGTTCTCCCACCGAGCTAGGATCATCTGGTAGGTGATAGAAAGAATGTCGGTTCGGATGTTTGTTGTGCTGCATGATGGTGGCAGTAGACTCCCCTGTTGCTGAAGGCTGAGTGACAGCGTCCGAATTTTTGGTATTTGTTCTATTCGTACTTCTGAAGAGACCTATAACGGTGCCATGAACACCCAGCATGCGTGCGATGAAACGGAGAGCAGGGCGGATGGTTGGGAGGTTGGCCGAAACGATGCCGGCGGACATTTCGATCGCAGTCCAGCCAACTGTTCGAGCAAGAGTGTAGGAGGAATCAAGCGGAGTGTAGCTGAAGAGGACCGAGAAACGGTAGGCGGAGGCAAAAACGACGCTGTTGAGGTTAGATTAGTTTGGGAGGAGATTCTTTTTTTGGCAATGTTAGTGGCTTACAAGAACCCCAAGCTGAAGGCAACCAAGACGGCTATCTTTTCCGACATTCGAAGTTGGAGCTTCCATACTTGTGGAATTGGAAGGACGAGAATAACAACGTCGGTTGCGATCGTTGAGACGGCGTTGGCGACCCATGTGGCGACCTGGTTGATGCACCGCCCTGGGATCTGGGGATACCATAGTTTCTGGACAGGGACGCAAATGAAGATGAAGAGAAAAGTTATACAAATCACCCAAAGGATAACAAAGACTCCAATGATGTATGCCCATGTCTTGAAGTAAGGAAAGCGGAAGATCCGGTAGTACATGAGCAGAATGCTCAGTTTGGTCCATACTAAGTTGAAGACGTAGAGAACTTCGGCCACAACAAGATACTTTGCGATCATGATCACGTTTTCCGTTGGAAGAGTGCCTGCATGGAGTCCCATTCCCTTATGAATCATGGCGAAAATTAATCCGACAACGATAAAATTCCATAGCTTGTATTTGATCAGAAACCATGCGATTGGGATCCAATGGAGTGAAAGAATCGAACTAACCATAGAAAAGATAACCATATAGTCATCCCACCACAACTTTTGCATCCGCTCATAACGGGCGAGTAGTCGAAGACAAACCGTCACGAAGGCCAACACCGTGACTGAGGCTGTGGTAGCTATAGACCATGGCTGCAGACTGTCATCATTGCTCTCCATGACGCTGGGCCCAGGGAGGTAAACATAGAATTCAGCAGATGTTGGGCAACCAAATCCTATTTACGGAATACGGAATACGGAATACGGAATACGCGGCTGAGTTGCTGCATGGAAAACTTCCCATCTTTGTGTGTGAATAATAGTACTCGTAAAATTCTAGAAATTCCACTTTTGAACGTTTGATTGACAAGCTTGGCGTCTAGAGTTTGGACTTAGTTCGGTAGTTAGCTCATGCCGGGTTAGGCATTTGCTCTGGTCCACAATAATATCACTAATATGTACGGAGTATCATTGATATGTATCATTGACGAGTAAATAATATATATATCATTTACGGAGTATATGTATCTAATATGCACGGTAAACTTCAAAGGAACCGTTGAGTACCAAATGAAACTATATGAAACCATCTGAATGGACTGCATGTTGTAGATCCGTAAAATTATCCACGTGGATGCAGGGGTTACGAAACCTGTTTTAGGAAGGTTCTTGTCAGAAAAAAAAACCAAGAAGAAAACACGGGAAAAGGGCCCACTCCATACTAGTACTAGTATGAGTACTAGTGAAGAAAAAAACAGAATGAGACTAAAACCAAGAAATGTACGGAGGGTGCGTATAAATATGTAAGATGGTGAATACAGAACACTTCGAAATACTGATTTTTAGAGTTATTGATTGGCACCTTTAGTGGTGTTAGTGGGTTTCGAGTGCAGCATGTATCCTCAAAATACTAGTTGTACTTGGTCACCATCTCCAGAAGGGCCTCATCCACCTCCTTTGGGTTGGTAGCATTCAGGTAATGTGCACCCCCTTCAATCATCACAAGTTTAGCCTCCACAGACGAGGTAAAACGTTTAATGTGTTCCGCAGGAACGATCGTTCCAAAAGGAGTGTCTTCAGTTCCCTTGTTGATTCGTTAATACACAAATCATCTACATGGGTAAACATAGGACTCACCTGTAACCAATAAACAGGACATTTGATATCCCCAATTCGAAGTAGGAGCCCATCCCTCTCCAGTAGGCAATTGAGCGCCATTCGAACCTTTTTCCGGCCCTCATCACCCTTATACACTTCCTTCAAGGTCTGAGTCCAGAACGCAGATCTCGTTTCGGTAGCAGCGGCACCAAAGCCAATTCCCCCCACTAGTCCGCACCAGACGTCATCCACAACAAAGTCGGGTGTAGCCGAAGGACTGGTCCACTTCTCATAAAACACTGTGAGATTGGCAGCGGGATCCCAACAGCCCTTGGATCGAGAATCCAAGGATTCATAATCCATGGAGGTTCCGAGGGGCATCAGACCGAGAATCTAGCAATATGTTAATACCATTGGTTTGACTTGGTTTGGTTTGGAGCTGAATCAGCAGTTCATTGACTTCTCCCCGGGCTTGAGCCTACCCTGTCTGGGGCTAGGAGGGCCATCCTAGTCACGATCCATCCACCCTGACTTGTCCCTAGGACGAAGGCCTTCTGAATGCCAAAGTGATCCATGACTTGTAAAGCCATGTGAGCGGAATCCCAGTACGTAAAGTGTTCCGAGGGAGAACTAGTCGAGCCATGGCCTAATGGCTCAATAGCCAGAAGATTCATGGCATCAGTCAACACTTCATTGTTGAATTGATCATGATAGAGAGAGACGGTCATGCACATCGAATTAATGAGCACGCATGTCGGCTTGGAAGGATCATAATGGTTCTTAGAGAAGGCGTATCCAGCCTTGATGCCCCCAAGGTGTGGAACTTCGATAGTTTGAAGCGCAGCCATTTCGTAATAGTCAGTGGACTTCAAGATAAATATGTGATGTATCTACAATATACCCTGGGAGGGAGGGGGGAAAGAAGTCAATATGCCACCTATGGGGGGTTAGCCGAGTTAGCCCCTCCATCTTCTCCTACAGTCTGTAAAACATAAAACATTACTCTGTATGGAGTATGGAGTATGTAAATCCCGAGAGTTGGACAAGGCCCTCGGTATTTGGTCCTAAACTAGTGATTGATCTCCGACTGACCATGTGGAGTCACTTCGACAGACCAGTTTGCTGGGATTGTTATTTGCTTCACTTTTGCACAACAGCCCATTGTACTCCATACTAAACTTTGGAGGCTGCCGGGGGGTGGGGCCGGACGCTTTCTGAGAGAACTAACCGGTACACCCGGCTTCCGTATGGGGATATTTGTGACGGTATCGCCACAGTTAAGGGGTTCAAGATACGAAGTCATGAATCATGTTGTGAGTGCTTCGGAAATCCGCTTGATCCGCTTCAGGGCTGATGGTACTAGTTAATAATAGATAGATCGCACCTAGCTTCGAGGCCAGTGTTGTGCATATAGACAGGAAGTTCATCTGATAAAGTTTCCGCTTACCCCTTGCCGAAGGTATGGACAATGGACAAAATGTTTCGTGCGTAGACTTGGCTTGTACGTGAGTATGTTGTATGTAGGTACCCAGGTACCTCCAGGGCTATTTTGTAGGTCAACACAATATTACCTAAGCAGGCCTTTTCAATATCAAACAAGACAAACACCTTCATCATTGCATCCCAGCTTGACAAGCTCAAATCTTTTTGTTCATCATTGCCAGCCATAATGGGAACTGCAAAGGCTCGCGCTCCTCCAAGGACCCCCGCAACACCCACACAACCCGTGGAGACATCGCGGCACCTTCCCGACAAGACCTTTATCATCGACAATGGCGCCTACATGATCAAAGCCGGCTACGCTTCTCATGCCCCGGCCTCCGACGAAAGCGTTTCCTCTTGCTCATCAATACCCAATGCTCTCGTCAAAACCCGCGATAACAAGATTGTTATCGGCGCACAGCTAGCGACGGTCAACGACTGGAATGAGGCCATGTTTCGGCGCCCGGTGGAGAAGGGATATGTTGTGAACTGGGAAGCCGAGAGAGAGATTTGGGACCAGTCTTTCTTTGATGGGAAGGCGACAGCTCGTAATCGGAATTACCACATCGCAGACCCGGAAGACACTACCCTTGTGCTCACTGAGGCGCCGAATGCCTTGCCCATATTACAACGGCACGCTGATGAGATGGTTATGGAGGAATGGGGATTTGGGGGATATGCGAGATGTTTGGGTACGGTAGTCCGATTATTTGGTGCCGCACATGATCCCATACTAACTTGAAGTCTTTAGGTCCGACCCTCAACGCATGGAACGAGATCCATTCTCTCTTTGGCGATCCTCTCTCCAATACATCCGACGCATCTATCTTGCCCGCAGATTGCTTACTGGTCGTCGATTCTGGCTACTCACACACCACAGTTACCCCGGTTTACAAAGGCCAAGCTCTTCAACGCGGAATCCGAAGACTCGATCTTGGAGGCAAGCACCTCACAAACTACCTGAAGGAGATTGTGTCAATGAGACAATACAACATGGTGGATGAATCATATATTATGAATGGAGTTAAAGAGGCGGTCTGCTATGTCAGCAATGACTTTGCTGGTGATTTGGAACGAGCATGGAAAAATGGCCGAAAGCGCCAGAGTGGCCCCGAAGAGGGTATCGTGTTGGACTATGTGCTTCCAGACCCGAACGCAAACAAGAAAGGCTTCATTCGACCACATGATCCTCTTCTTCACGCCAAAAAGAAGAAAGGGGCGGCTTCCGGGCTCAGCACAGAGGTGTTGTCGGAGGATGTACTAGTGCTGGGGAATGAGCGCTTTGCTGTGCCGGAACTTCTATTCACCCCGGGAGATATTGGTATGAAGTCAGCTGGTATACCCGATATGATTCTTCAAAGTTTGTCGGTTCTGCCTACTGGTCTACACTCTGCGTTCTTGGCGAACGTTCTTGTTGTCGGAGGAAATGCTTTGATTTCAGGATTTATGGAAAGACTGTGGGTTTTCGAAAGTCAATTGTTTGGAGTTCCTACTAAAAAACTACATTCTCACAGAGAAACCGAATTGCGACAGATTGCCTCTGCTGAATGTGTCGTGAGAGTACGCCGGGCCAAGGAGTAAGTGGCCATCCCTTCTGGTTTTCCTAACTTCTGAAAGTACTGACATTAATAGCCCTATTCACTCAACATGGCTAGGAGGCACTCGTCTTGCTGCAAACAGAGAGGAACTCAGCAAGGTATCCATCACTCGCCAAGAATATCAAGAATACGGGTCAGGATGGGCTGTTCGACGATTTGCCGGCCTTGTATAAGGTTCCAGTCGCGTGAACAGTCTTTATGGGATTAAATATGGGAGTTTTTAACGATGATCGAGATCGACAGCATTTATAGCATTTAGTGATACCCTAGTTTTCAGTGTCAGTGGTCAATGTACAAAATCTTTTGGAACGAATATATAAATTTAGTTCAAGGCTAGAACACCGCAGTCCTCACATTACGATGTGATTATTCGTTCTAATGTTGGAATAAGCTGCGTTCTTGCTTATTCGGGGAATTCCTAGATCCATGGATCCACGCCTGTTCCTTGTTCACCTGTATGTTAGGGCTATTGGCTTAAGCACTTCGAAGACATCTCCGTAAATGTTTTGCGAGTCAACAGAATAAAGCAGGGCCCTAAGAAGAGTTGGTCTCGCCGAAGCCCACTTCATACACAGACTACAAGACAGCAACCCCTAGAATGTAGCCGTCATCTTATAATTAACCATGGGCTCTTCAGGAACAAGGAAGAAAATAGTGTTTGCCCATCCATGGGTAAATGTCCAATCCCTATATGGCCTGAAAGATGAGGCGCACACTGCACTTCTACATAAGAGGCAGGCCTGGACTCTTAGATACGGTCATGCACTTTGTCCCTCTTTTAAGGGCCCAGTACCAACCCCAAAAGTTGCTACGAAGCCACGGCAAAATGGCCAAGAGCCGATCGTCCATTCGACTCCTCTTCGACTACTTGGAGCGAGTATTCGTATTCAAGAAAGTTACCAAGAAAGAAGGCCTGTCAGTAAAGCACGAATCCAGTCGAAATACAATGAAAAACAATATATTAACTCCTCACAGATGCACAGGGTGCTACCAAAAGATCCCAACAAGCAAACTGTTAACTGCTCCCTGTGAACACCAATACTGCCCCTCATGCCTCCGTCGAATGTCCTCAACAGCCTTGAACAGCCTAGAAATGTTCCCGGCAAAATGTTGTTTTCAAGAAATCCCCACAGAAGCCCTCATGGCGGTGATGAGCTCTCGAAACAAAAAGCGCTATATCGTTCGGTGTGAGGAGAATAATGTCCCTCCTCTAGAGCGCTTGTACTGTCCCCGGGCGACGTGTTCCCGATGGATTCCCCCAAAGAGCCCTGGGGCACGGTTAGGATATCGTGTTTGTCCTCATTGCCGGGCAAAGGTTTGCCCTAAGTGCGGCCACTTTTTCCATTTCGGCTGGTCATGTAGTCATGACTCTGATACCAAGGCGACGTTGCAACTAGCGAAGGAGAATAATTGGCAGAGATGCTCCAATTGCCTGTATTTGGTTGAGAAGGTCGATGGATGTAACCACATCATTTGTAGGTGTGGGCATCAATTTTGGTATGTTCATGCATGCACGTTCTAGGCAAAACGTTAGCATTAATCGGGATATCAGCTACCTTTGTGGTCAACGCGGCCGATGCGAATGTCCCCCACGTGGTGGCGAAGATGAGGACCTGGATACAGATGGGGATCTTGATGTTAATGCGGTTGTTGCTGCAATGGAGCAAGCAGAATCGGCAGGTGAACCTTGTTGGGTGGAGAGTGAGGCTTAGAGAATGGAGGAGGGCAGGTAATCAATATTTATTTTCAGCAAGTCGCGATCTAGATTAATATGATGCAGGAAGGGTATCTTGATCGAAATGCTTTTTCTCCATCCCGGACACATACAGCAACTAGTAGTCGTAGAAACCCTTGCCGCTCTTCTTGCCAAGCCAGCCAGCATCCACCATGCGACGCAGGAGACCAGCAGGTCTGTACTTGCTGTCACCAGTCTCCTGGTGAAGAACGTTCATGATTGCAAGGCATGTGTCGAGGCCAATGAAGTCAGCCAAAACAAGGGGCCCCATGGGCACGTTGGTGCCAGTTTTCATGATGTTGTCAATGTCCTCACGGCGACCAACCCCAGTCTCTAGACAAATCACGGCCTCGTTAATGTAAGGCATCAAGATACGGTTGGCAAGGAAGCCAGGTGTATCGGCCGACACAGAGGCCACCTTACCCATCCGCTCGACAAAGGCAATGGCAGTGTCCATGGTCTCCTGGGATGTTTGAAGTCCGCGGATAATCTCCACACCTTTCTGGATGGGGACAGGGTTCATGAAGTGGGTTGAGATGACCCGAGAGGAAGCCTGAAGGTCGGTGGGGTCCGTGCTGGTGGCAGCAGCAATCTTGGTGATGGAGATGGAGGAGGTGTTTGTTGCGAGGATAGCATGCTTTGGGGCGATCTGGGCCAAGCTGGCAAATATCTTTGCCTTCAGATCCGGGATCTCAGGCACAGCCTCAATGACGAAGTCGACTGCGGAGAGACCCTCCAACGTCAGACTTGTAGAAATAAGCCCACGAGCTTCATCAGCTGCCTCTCGAGTGAGGCGCTGCTTTGCTACATCCTTTTCGAGAAGCTTATCTATTATCCAATGCCATGTCAGATAATTCCAGGCGATTGAAGTAAACTAAACTGAAACCAAGCGTACCGGCAAACTTGAGGCCCTTATCCAAAGAGGCCTGCGAGGTGTCGACGAGAGTTACAGGGACCTTTGCCTTCTGCGCAGCAACGAGGGCAATTCCCAAGCCCTGAAAAGTGTTAGACCTGCAGCGTGGTTGGATATTCCATGTTACACACCATTTGGCCTGCACCGATAACGCCCAGTGACTTAACCTCGGCTGCGCGGACTGCGGAGGTTGAGCTGAAGTTTCGCGCCACTGCAGGGCCACTGCGAAGGGAAACAAAGCGAATAGTAGAGGTAAGCATGGCTGCAGTGGTTTCTGGAGCTATGGGGAAAAGTAATAAAGGGAGTGAAGGGGGTAAGTGCGAGGAAGCAAATCAGTATACTGCTATAACTTCACGTGCTTTCGGACGTCATTCTAGATTCTCGATAGTGACCATTGAAGCATATATCTCACCGCCTTGTATCTTGGCCAACCATGTGCTCATTTCGCGATCGTTTTCCCTTTTGAATTACTGAGCTCATACATAATAGTATTGGCCGATAACTGTAGAGCCGAGCCGAGGATAGCAAGGCTTGAGTGAAAATGATGGCGCTGCCTGCTATTAATATAATTCCGAAGAAGAAGCTGAAGGGGGAACATTGAGGCCTGAAGCTCAAGTACCCTAGAAACCTAACAATCTTGAAAGTATTTTTGATAAAGCCCAAAGGGAAACATAATTCTCACATTTTCTAGACTAAATTCTCGAGAATACATAAATTTGAGGTCTTGTAGGTGGAAAATCAGGTTCAAGGGTAGATCGAAAGCGATGATGATTGCTTGCCTATCAAGGGACAGAGCACTCGATCTTAACATCAGAATATTACGGGTTATTTCCAAAGTTGACTTTGAGCAGTGGACATATTTAAAGAACAAGTTCACAAGGATTACCTAGATATCTCTTCTCGGATCTATAGATCTGACTATTCTGCCAAATACTGCCGCAGTGGCCGTTGATGTTTGGCGTAAGAGCATCGGTTATCTTCGGCACTTTGGCGGCGTCCAGTTTCTCCGAACCGCCGAAGCCGAACACGCGTCGACGCGTTCCCATTCAACTCGATTCGGGAAGCAAATTAATGGGGTATCAAATTAGCCCACCATGGATGAAGAGGTTGTTCCTCTAGGACACGACGTGCAAGTTGTGGACCCAGACGTCCGTAACTATGTTTACGGCCTGGTTACTGCTGTGAGTTCACTTCCACTTTCCCCTTTGCCTGGCTCCAATTCACTAATACTTGGGATATCTAGCTCGGAGGATTCAATGGCGAAAATGCCGACCAATACGTGCTCGGAGACGATGCGCTGGCATGTTTACGTGACATTAAACGCTGGTTAAAACTGTACGATGAAAAGAATAACCGGATGGACGTTGCGCGGTGCCTTGGAGAGGCCAATTTGATCAATGGTGATCTGCTTCCGATCCTCTCGCTCTGGTGGGCTAGTGGACAGAACAGCAAGCATATGACTAGGATCTCACTGGCATGCTTGGAACTTCTTGTTCCCTTAACATGGCCCGTCGAGTTTCACAGCCAGATGACAGTCAACCACCATCGCCATACCCCCTACATTCAACAGACACAGGTGCAATACAAGCGAGGTATCCTCCGATCTGGGGGATTGAATCTCCTTCGTGCAGTCATTCGAATTTCTCTTCCGAGCATGGCGACCCCCCGATCCGAACGTGGAACCCGAGACGAAGGAATCCTCAAATTGATGTTGTACTTGCTGCGAAACATTGCGATCATATCCCCCAACACTCGACTTGCCGCAGAAGGGGACGAAGAGGAGACATCCAGATCGGCAACAATCAACGCCTTCCATGAGCAAGATGCATTTGCACTTCTCCTGACTATGTGCTCTAATGTCGGCGAAGACTTCAACCTTCAAGATATTCCTTTGATGGAGACAATTTTCCATATTGTCAAGGGTGTCAACGTTGAGAAGTTGTTCATGGATGATGAGCAGAGAACGGCCAAGCGAACTGACGAACTCAGTGATCTACTGAAGAAGGAATCATTGGTACGCAGGGAATATGCAAAGAATGCGCCCACACGCCATGGGAGGTTCGGTACAATGATCTGGGTCAAGCGAGACGATGCGAAGGTGTCTACTGTGTCTGGACAAGGTGTCTTGCGCGACGACCAGACCACGCTACAAAAGATGGACGAAAGCAAAAAGTGGAATAAGCCTCGGCCTCGTCGCAGACAAGAAGATGTGGTCCAAAACAACAACTTCAACATGCCAGCTCACCTCAATTCCGAAGCAACTAAGAATCTGAGGACTTTTGTGGAGGAGTTCCTGGATTCGGGGTTCAATCCTCTATTCACCCATGTGCGTAAAGCAATCGAACGTGAAGCTGAGCGTGTGGTTCCAATCAATTATCGCCAATTCTTCTACACCGTCGGTTGGTTCCTAGAAGCAGAGCGCGTACGACGGACTCGACAGCTCCGTCATCGTACAGCTCAGAATGGAGGAAGAACTAAAGATATTGAACCCGACAGCTATGGTCTGGTTGCTGGCGTCCTGAACCAAGAGATGTTCATTTCTTTGAACCGGGCTATGCAGAGTAGCCTGGACAATAAGGAATGGGAAGACCTCAATGCTCAGATGCGCTGCTTCACCCAAATTCTGTTGACTGTCCAGGAAATGGCAGTGTCACCACTTGAAGAGGATCAGGAAATTGCGGAGAATATTCAAAACCGAATTTTTTACGAAGAAACAACCCATGACCGGATCCTTACTATTTTGCGCGGATACAAAGACCAAGGCTTTGGCTATCTAGATGCCTGCACAGAGTTAGCACATGTGTTCCTGCGAATGTTGGAACGGTATTCCAAAGACAACGCCGACATGCAAATCCGCTCGCGGCGAAAGGCCAAGAAAAGGCAGAAGAAGGCTACTCAAGCCGCTGAGCAAGAGGGAGCAGACGACGATGACGAGCGTGACTCCGAAGATGAGGATATGGAGGATGCCGCCCAGGTCACCAAGGAACGCAGCTTTGACTTCAAGCGATTCGCAGCTAAGTTCTGCAATCAAAATTGCGTGGATACCTTTATTGCGTTCACAGGATTCTACCGAGAGCTTAACTCTGAGCAGCTCAAACGCGCTCACCGCTATTTCTACCGGATTGCATTCAAGCAGGAGATGACTGTCTTGCTGTTTCGTGTGGATATTATCAGTCTTTTCTATCGAATGATCAAAGGCCCAGGCTCCATGGACTCGAGCAAGTCTGTATTCAAAGAATGGGAGGAATTGGTCCGGCAAGTCATTCGACGACTGGTCAAGAAGATTGACCAGCGCCCCGCCTTGATCACTGAGCTGCTGTTCAGTAAGATCAATTCTACTATCTACTACCTTGAATATGGACACGAGAAGCAAACGATGTTCTCCTATAAGCGTCCCCCGCCGGAGCTTGTGATTACATCAACGGAGGCAACGACGAAGGAAGCGAAACTCCACATCGTGATTGGTGCTCTTGTTCTTGATGGTAGAGCAGACCTGGTAACATGGATCAAGGATGTCTTGAGCTCTGCAGCCTCCGAAAGGGAGGACTGGGAAGCCCAAGAAGAAGTCCGTCGCGCCGAGAACTCCGAGACTATCAGCGTTCCCAATCCGATGATTAGTATGTTCCCCGCAAACCCTGATTCGTAATTGATACTAACGACAAGACAGCTGTCAAAGGCAAAAACGAGTTCGTTCAGAATGCCATGTTCACGAACGCAAAGCTACGTCTGCTCATGACCGTCATCGGATTCGAGCGACTCGGCGTTGAAGATGTGCTTGGTACCTCTTGGGTCGTTCCGGCCTCGTTCAAGTCCGACGACTTGCGTGAAACAATTTCTGAGATCTTGAAAGCCCTTCAAGGCCCGTTCTCCGCAGATGGCAATGATGACCCTCGCAAGCAGATCCAACCAAAGAACAAAGGAATCGGTCGTAACAACATGATTCAAGGCACGCTTGATGTCAACTTTGGATCGGAGTCCGAAGGCGAGGACATTCCAGATGGTCCTTTATTCCCGGCGAATCCGCGGTCAAAGTCTAGTGCGCTGGATGACCTCAAGAAGAAGCGTAAGAACAAGCAAAAGGCCACTACGGAAAGGGAGCCATTGGACGACGAAACTTTAGAAGCGCGGCGCGATGCGCGTCTATCAAACGCGCTTTCTCGCCAGGCGAAGATCAAGAGTGATCTGTTCATCCATGCTAGCGACGAAGAGAGCGACGAAGAAGCCGACAAAGAGTTCTTCCGACTCGAAGAAGAGCGGCGAGTCAAGCAGGCAAAAGAAATCAAGAAGGCCTTGCTCACTGGAACCGTTGAACCCCCCAGCAAGGGCAAAGGGAAAAAGTCTGCCGGCCGCAAGCGAACTAGCGATACTGGTACTGCGGCCGCAAAATCGAAGCGACAGCGTCGTAATTCTGGTTCTGCTGCTAGCGACCCAGAGAGTGATGCTGACGGCGATATTCTCATGGCGGAACTTGACGCTCAGTCATCTCATTCTCAGCAGGAGATTTCCACTAGCCACGGCGCTGGAGAGGATGAAGACACCCCTCTCACATCGGGTGAGGATGACCTTGCTTTCGATGATGATTTCGCCTTCACTCGAGATCCCCCGAGCAAGCCCCAAGCTACGGAGCCCGAGGCACTGGACGATGACGAGGACGATGCGCCTGTAGCTCCAGCCCGGAGACGTATGCGCGGTGGATTTGTGATTGAGAGTGACTCTGAATAGTGGTTTCACCTCAATATTTGTGATATGTTTTGATTATGATGACCTGATGAGGCGTTTGGCATTGAGATGGAAATGGAATTGTAAAGCATCGGATACCTAAACTCAATGAGAACAATTTTACGACCTAATTTCCATGGATTCCCTATCTGCCCAGTCACCGACCAAGCCAAGGTCCGTGCTTGATGAAGCATACAGAATACGAGCTTCCCCACAGTTGACATTTGTTCAACCGAAGACACATCTTTCCTTGGAGAGATTTCTCTTTCTATCGATTTCCAAAATGGCTAATAGAAAGACTCTTACAGCAGCGTGCCACTGCCAAAGCATCTACTTTACTATAACAATCCCCGCAGACGCCCTCCCCCTCAAAGTCCACATATGCCATTGCAGCGTCTGTCGCTACACCCATGGCACACCATGTATTTTTCACGCCCCGCTACCAGCAGGCGTAATACCGCAGTTCATCGATCCGTCCAGCATAGACAAACTGACACCCTATAACCACTCCGAGTCCCAGGGAACGCGGAATTTCTGCAGTACCTGCGGCTGCCACATCGGGGATATGTCACACGACGATGGGAGCTGGGTGATATCTACGGCTATCTTCACCAAGCCAAACCAGGGTCTCTGGGAGATACGCTCACATGCTTTTACAAACTCCTCGCTTGATGGAGGGCTTTCGGCGATGTTCTCGCATATTGGTGGTCGCCAGCTTAATGTCTTTGACCCGGAGACATCACTGGATGCTAGCAAGACTGAAGACAGTACCCGAACAGACGCAGTCGAGATCGGGGCTGAAAAATTGCGCGCTGAATGTCACTGCGGTGGCGTTTCGTTCTCTATCGCTCGTCCTAGAAAGGAATTTCTCGCCCGCCCTGCGAGCGAAGGGTGGATATTGTCAAGAGACACGAGCAAGTGGCTTGCGCTTCTTGATCTCTGTGATGATTGTCGTCTGGTCGATGGGTCGAATGTTATAGCTTGGATGTTCGTTCCGGTTGATCATATATCCCCTTCTCCACCTGGAGACTTGATTATCGGGTCGTCGAAAAGTTACAAGTCGAGTGAAGAGGTACTAAGGACGTTCTGTGGGACGTGTGGTGCGACGGTGTTTTATAGCTGTACCGACCGGCCGGGGATAGTTGATGTGGCTATTGGGATTTTGCGTGCGCCGGAGGGGGTGATGATTGAGAATTGGGCATTATGGAGGAGGAGGATTAGCTCTGGGGATGATGGATTGAAGTATGATCCTGACTTTAGTAGAGCGTTGATTGAAGGATTGAAGGTATGGGGGAGTAGGAGGGGTATGCCGGATGATTTTGTTCTCCCGCGAGTGTAGAAGTTCATTGGATGTCCACTGTGATATTGTAATCCACTAGATATTTAGTCAAATAATTGCATCATTCTAGAGCGTTCTCCGTACTATTCCAAGTGTAGCGTGAATTTTGACTGTGAGTCAAAGCGAAAAGTGGGGGGAGCTTGCAAGGTTGCAACTATAAAAACCATCCGACATCCCGGTTGATACCTGCGGCATATCCCAATATCCCAATTTTAATAAATACCCCAACATGACTCACCTCAAATTTGTCACACTCGATGTCTTCACAACAACGCCTTACTCTGGCAATCAGCTAGCAGTGGTATTCCTCCCAGAAGACGACTCAGCCGCTCTAACCCAGAGCCAGAAGCAAACAATCGCAAGAGAGTTCAATCTGTCAGAGAGTATCTTTGTCCACCCAGCACGCGAGAAAAGCAAGCGCGCCATCGACATCTTCACCCCAGACTGCGAAATCCCCTTCGCAGGCCATCCCACCATTGGTGCAGCCTCCTGGTTCTTGAGCCACTCAACTGACCCCGCGGATGGCGATGGCGTCACCAGCCTCACGACCAAGTCCGGCGACATCCCTATCTCCATCCAGGATCGCGAGACCAAATACGTCGCTGCCCAGATTGCGCACAATACGCACATTCATGCCTCACGGTTTAGCTTGAAAGAGTTGGTTAGGCTGCACCCGACGCTGGCGCCATTCTTCACGCGGCCGGATGTCACCTTCCCGCTCTTTTCGATTGTCAACGGGATGAGTCAGTTGTTTGTTGAGCTTCCTTCGCTCGAGGCGCTGGCTGCTGTGACGCCTGCGACCGGCGGTGAGCTGGTTTCTGCTGATTATCTTGACGAGGGGTGGAGGTCTGGGTTGATCTGTGTGTACTTCATTGTTCGGGATGTTGAGGATAGTGTCTCAAAAAAGAAGGTCATTCGGTCCAGGATGATACTGGGAACTCTAGAAGATGCGGCTACTGGCAGTGCAGCCAGTGGGTTGGCGGCGTACTTGACACTTACGGAGGGCAAAGCTGGCCAGAATCATCAGTACCATGTTGTGCAGGGTGTTGAAATGGGACGCCGGGGTGATATCGGTGCTGGGGTCACGTTGGATGGTGACAGTAAGATTGAACAGGTTGTGCTGACGGGAACTGCTGTTAGCGTGTCTGAGGGCAAGGTGCTGGTACCTCAGGCCTGAATAAGATAATAGTTCTAGAGCTTTTAATGAGTCATAATTCAACACTCTCCTGTTTTCTCACAATGTATGTCTACGGGTAGTATGCTGCGCCACAGCCTCTGTGTGATCAGTTCTCCTTTGAGTCCCCGCGAGGCTGAAAGCTGACTGTGCCGCGCTCTTGCCAGTCATATTAAGCTGCAGACTAGATTTGACGGGAATCATAATTCTACACAGGTACCCAAGTTTGAATAGTCTAATTATCTGTGTAGTATTCTTGAATTTGCTAATAGATGGCGAAGTCATCTTCAGAGCCTGGCCTGGAGCCTAAACTCCATCGGTATACAAGACGCCGAGAATTACACCCCACACCAAATGGTGTCCGACGGGCAAGATCAAAGGCAAATAATGTACAGGAGATACATCGAATAGAGCCCGGGGAACATGAAGAGTCCCCGCTTTTCAGGAGGTATGAACTCTTACTTCCTATCGTAACTTCTACATACTCCTAACATTGTAACTTCAGATTCTTCTCCCTTCCAAAAGAAATAAGAAATAACATTTACGGTCAACTTCTCGTCCAGCCGTGCAAATTTGATCTATGTCACTCAAACCCTTGCAAAATGCCTATGATCCGTATAAGACCAGGTCCCGATCCACATCCCTGGAACAGAGATGGCCACCAATGTGCAAACTGCCATACCTACCGCTGGAAGCAGCCACAAGTTCCGATATTCCAGTCTCCGGCACGAAGCCAGTGGGCGCAGCCGCATAAGAACGCATATCTTTGTGACAATTGCTATTGGGACTTGAATGGGGGCGTGGAGGGGATTCCGTGTATGAGATCTCTACCATGCCTATGCGGAAGGCGTGACAATCTAGCCATTTTGCTCGCTAGCAAGCGGTTTTGGAACGACGCTGCACCGATCTTCTGGGCGGAGAACTGGTTCGCCTTCGAGCATCCCTGTCTCCTAACGGGATTCTTGACTGCTATTCGTCCCCAAGTGAGATCATGGCTAAGACGTATATCGTTTATGCCTATCCATGCTTACTACCATGATGAACACGCTAGCATATTTCCACAGTGGCGGGATCCGATTTGGAATGGATGGGATGATATTAAGAGTTGCTGGAATTTACTGAGACTGTGCGAGGGACTGACAGAGCTGGAGCTTGATGTGCTGTCTTTGACGCGCAAGGAATGGGCTCAGGCTATTCGACTAATTGATGTCAAGAAACGGGTCGCCTTTTTTTGCCATCTGGACCTAGATGATATTGAAGATGCACCTAAAGATTCAGCGGAGTTTATATGGGAGTCGCATGCTCTGAGGAAACGATTCGACTCGCCTACGACCGATTTGCTTGCTTCTAGCATGACTGGCAAAAGGGCTATCAGGAGAAAAGCTCTGATAACTCATTACTCTGAGAATACACTACAACAAAGATGTGGCGATTACGGGGTCGAGTTTACCGAGAAGATGATCGAAGGCCGAATATGGAATTCATGATAGTGTGGGTCAAGCACGGCGTTTGCCGCCATTTGTCAATTTCAAAGCTTCTTCTCCTCTACCAACTGCCTCAAAACCTTGATTGTCCCTTCAACCGCCATCTGGCTCATCTTCTTCTCCTTCTCGAGTAGCGCCGCAAGCTCCACCTCCGAGACACCGGGGTGTCTCCATTCGAAGATATATGTCATGTAGAGCTCCCCACCAGCTCCTTGACTGATCACATTGCTGATCTTGCTTCCACCCGGCTGCTCAAATTCCACGCGGGTAGGCTTGAAAGCTGTAACGGTCTCCTGAACTGTTTTCTGGGTTTCGCGGAACAGGACATCCCGAACGGTCACGGTGTTCCCGGTCGATGGGTCGACAGAGTCACTAACGACCTTGGTGGATTGGATCGCTCCTGGAACAAATGTCTCTGCGGAGCGGATCTTGAGGAGGAGGCCGTTCCAGATTTGTTCGGGGGTGACAACTGGTGTTGCACCTGGTGGGTTGATCGGGGCGGTGAAGGCGATGTTGTTGGTTGAGGACATTTTGGGAGGATGCGAAAGGAAATTGTCCAATGATTGAGATCAATGCTGTGAGGAATTTTGATCAGCAAATTTGACCGAACTTGACGCTCTTTTAATATTCAATGTTCGATCTATGTAGGTAAGGTGCGAAAAACAATGACGAAACCGATAACGCCGATAAGGTTCATAAGCTCGGCATTACGCGGGGGCCGATGACCTGGATTTCTAATGTGTCGGCGCATGAAGACCGGCATACCGGAGGATTTATTAATCCCACTTGTTTTGTAATTTATGTTATGTAATCGAGGCTCCATATAAATTGTACAGGAAGCCGATACAGAAATACAGAGAGTTGAACCCCATTGATTGGACCCCTTATTTTACAATACCACTTGCTGGAACATAATGTGTGTGCCTTGGATATCAGGCATTAATGCTGCCGAATCGAAAATAACTAGTTAACGTAGTATACTAGAATGATAAAGTGAAGATTTATGGATACCCATGGAAAGAACGAGAATTTGAGAAATATGACAAAGGTAAAATTATTATGGTCTTCCAAGCAAGTTGCTTATATTCTAGGGCAATCTGTAGTTATATTTTTCTGTAATGGCTTGAAAATCAAATTGAAAAGCAAAATAAACCGAAAGCGCATAAAGTTGCTTTTGCATATCATTTTATTTACATGACGCTCAAAAAGGTGTTGGACAAGATTGACATTGATCATTGTGGTAGGGGTTCCTCTTTTTGTCTTACATGTTAAAGACCTAATCAATGAACTCACAGTCATGGGGAATTTAGAAGCTGTTAATAAATGGGCTGGGAAGGCACTGTGGTAGTATATTCTCGTTCTCATGAAAGTCCTTCTAGTATTTATAGAATCCAAGGTGCGCGTCAACAGGTAATATTGCCCAGCATTGGCCATGCTCGGAGTTGGAATTCTCAAATACCCCTGTAAACAACTCCAATAATTCCTCCAGGATATCCGTGCGACGCTTTGCTTTAACCAATGTGTGATCAACGATGCCCCGATCCCCTAGAAAGTGGCACTGGAGGCGAGAGATGAGAAAGTTGGATACTACGCAAGAAAGAGTAATTCTGCTTGCCATCAAGATATGAGGTATACTCAAACAAACCGCTCGCTGATAATTCTGAAAGAATGTGTGAGCAAGGTAGATAAGATACAAAGTACGTACATCCATCCATGGATGGATCCATGGATATTTCAAGGCCGAGAGATAAGGTTGTTCTAGTGTGGGGCATCCCGCATTTTGTCGATGGATCTTTAGTTCGCCTATCATCAGCCCTCAATTGAAAATGAGATATCAAGAGCAATATCGCCTTGGAATTCCCCGACTTCGGGCCTGATCTACGATGCTCAGCGGTGAGCTGCAGGTTACCCGGTTAGCAATCAAAGGTTTACATTTAAGGATCTCTTGATAGCTCAAAGCTTGCATCTGGTGTACTTTCCGTGGACTACACGGTCAATCAGATCCAAATGGTCAGCCTTTAGCTCCGTATATGCCAAAATTAGCTATCCCACCCATCGTATTAGAAATATTACGGAATGTGTACAGGCAGAAAGCTTCTGTCAGAAGGAAATTTCCGTCAGATGTTGGGGTTCAAGATTCAACAAGATTTGATGTAGTCGTGCCTAGAGATGACAAAGGGAGCAGGCCCTGAGACATAAGGTAGGTGTACTCCAAATTGCTTGCAAGGGATGCATACTTTGCTCGAGAGAATAGAAGAGTAGGTTGTAGATCAGATGCATAACTAGATCTGGTATTATCAAAGGGCGCCTAGCGTGATTATTTTAACCCTCTATTAAGCTACTATGGTATCCCTCGGCTTATCTAGCATGGTGGATATAAGTTTTAGCTTTAAACCTTTATTTCCGCTCTAGACTCGGTTATCCTAACTAACGAATGTCATGTTTCAAAGACCACCTCCCGTCACCGTCCGACTCGGGACTACTTTACTTTAGCCCCCAATGGAAAAATTGGCTCAATTCAACCATTTTTCGACTATCCGGTTGATATTGTCGTCCCTCGTGCCTTAGTAGCATGGAACTTGATGCTCCAATGATGAGATCAAAAGACTTGCCTAGTTTTTGCATTTTAGATACTTGTGGCGTTGTAGTAGGTTGTGGCAGAGTTGAACACAGCTTTCCGAATGTCACCCTCGAAAATCCTGCGAGTCTCATTGAAATCGAAGCCCGATGCGAGAGCCAACTGGAGCTGAATGCGAGACTGCTCGCCATGCAAGAAGCCGGAACTGATACTATCTATTGTGTTAGTCAAGACGTCATTGTTGAAGGTTGGAAATTGTTGACTTACGTATTTCCAGGCTGGGGGCTGGGAACCACTGCGCCAAAGGATGGGCGGAGCGATGCAACAGTGATAACACCCTTTCCAAGGAGATCTTCGGCGGCCTGCATAGCGGTTGTGCTCAGACCGCCGGGACCTACACCCATAATAACAATGCCCCTACAAATACGTGTGTTAGTGCTTGCGTGGCAAAAGCTCGTGGTCGAAACTTACTTAGCACCATCCGCCGCAGCCGCGTATAGCAGATTCGCGTCAAAGCCCTCTATTTGACAACTGTTAACAAAGAACACGAAGGTTTTGGGGCATCATCTTTCACTTACGGTGACCGTAAAGAACCACCACCTTGGGAAGAGGGTAAGTGAGATTAAATGGGTTGAAGTAGTGTCGAGCCTTTGGTAAAGATGCACCATAAAAGAAGTATGGCTGCCCGGCAATCACCTGGGCAATGTAACCCTGGTCCATAGCGAAGAAAGTTGAGACTGTGTTGCCGTTAGTCTTTGTTCCGTAGAAGGCCGACACCAGATGGTCGTTGAACGCAATCAAGGCTCCTCGGTCACGCGACTCCGGGTGAATAGCAGTCCTCACTGCGTCGTAAAAGTTGCGTGGTCCGTCGGGTGACATTGCTGAGTTTGGCCGCATAGACCCTGTAGCGACGAAAGGCTTGGAGCAGTTCAAGGTAAGATCAACACCAAATGCCTATATGGAATCAGCTGGTGCAATCATCTGGAAGGGTTTTTGATCGAGGATAGATGTACAGTTTCAGCGAGCGTGTTAGTGCCATGAATCATGACAGCGCCGACAACATCCGAGTCCGAGCTGCAGAGTCGCTCGTGAGCGTCCATTGAAATGTTCAGAAATCTGTCCGAGTCGGCATTGGCACTGCCAGTGCCACTGATGTTTCGAACGGCAATTTGAGCAATGTCGAGGACTTCGTGGACGCTATCGATAAGTGTCTCTGGAGTCAAACCCCCGGTGCCACCACCATAGGCGACCGTATCCAATCTTCCATACCTAGATCCCGACAGAATTGTTCCATCCTCGGTATTGTAAAGCCTAGGATCAAAATTAGAGATTTTGCACGGAAAAATGTTCTTGTGGTACTTGCATGACTCTTGGCAGGGATGGGTCCTTGTAGATCCAAGTCAAATTGGTATTGGGGTCCTTCCATTGTTTGACGTCAAGTGATGAGGCCACGGCAATGTGGGTGAGAAGTGTCGTGGCTACAAGAGTGCGGAACATGATGATGGATCCAATGATGCCCTTAGCAGACAGCCAGATATAGCAATGATACAAACTACAAGAACTAGGTACAACAGGTATTTATATGTTTTCGTATCCAGGTACCTACTTGGCAAGGCAAAGATTCTCAGATTGGCTCCCCAAATTATGTAACAGGAAGTAGACCTACAGCTATCTATCTATTCCATTTAACGTTGAATCTTGATTTCCAATGAAAGATAAGGACCACACTATCAAATAAATGTATACAGACTCGTGAATATGCTTTCTAAGGATAGTGTATAGTCAAGCCACCTTGAACTATATGGATAGAATTGAACCATGGTAAAATGCTAGCAACGAACTTGAAGCTTATCATTAACTATCCTTGGAGCTATTCATAAAGCGACTAATTACGTATTGGATGGAATGATAATGCATGGTACAAACAACATTCAAAAAGTTAAACTATGGGACGAACCAAATATCTACCAGTGGAATAAATTCATTAATTGAATATGATACACCAAAGCGTCAGTCTAAAAAGTAGCTTCGATCTCATCGGTATGTATTTGCAACTCTAACCTAAGCTACTACAAAGAATGACCCAAGTACTGGAGGTTCAGTTTCAGAAATCCTTGAATGAAGGGGAATCGAACTTGTGCAGTATTGAGAGCTATGGTTATCACTGAGCCAACCTTATCTTTGGGGTAACTTGAAGTTTAGTTGCTCCAATTTGTGGCCCTTAAGGTACGCCATTCGGCACTATGCCTTCTTTAATACGGAGTACTCTTTTTGATTCCCCGAGTAGTTGGTGGGGCCAGTTTTAGCACTAGTACTTAGAATGTTGAAGCTTTGAGGGATAGGTATGCAATATTGCATACTAAGCTCAATTTCCAGCCTCTTAGCTCCAATTCAGCGTAAAATCAATAGATTTGACTCCTTAGGTGATTGTGTTAGGCCTGTAGTGACAACCAGTCGCGATAATCAAGATGAGTATTAATTATGGCTATAGTGACAAACCATGGTTATGAAGAATGAAATCGGCTCAAGCAATAGAGGAAATTTTTCTTCGGTCATCTTTGCCCTTTTTTCTTTCAAAATCAACCAAATCAACCCCAAAATGTGTCGGAGTTTGCGGAGTTGCTGACAATCTTCGGCCGATGCCAAGTTATTACTCCGCAGCGGAGACTTATTTGGGGGTGAGGTTTACCAGGAACGTACATCATATAGCCAATCACCCGTCAAGCTGGACTAGAATGAAGTAATAAACCCCCTCGGCTAACATTTTCACATAGTTTTAGGTTTTATATGAAATGTTCGTAAGTTAAGTGGGCATAGACAACTTAATTGGGTCGCTTCATACTACCATAACTACCTCCCGCACTTCCTTCACTCTTTCTGATATTATCACAAGTCGATTTCAAACTATCACATTATCTCAAACCACTGGGATACAGTAACTGTTTGGCGACGGGTGCGAAGAAAAAGCTCAGTACAAGTTCTAGGCTTTGATACCTTTTTTTGAATTCTTCTAGCCTATCGCCATCGCGAAAATAGAGAAAATATGAACAATTTCCTTGGTGTAAGTGACAAATACGCTTGCAAGGTCTGTTCCGGGTAATGACCTGTCGGAATCCAGTATCCCAGCATCAGTGATGCTTTGAGCATTGACCGAAGGTGCATACTAGGCGATGAGAGTTTGAAAGCCGTTGCTGAATGTAGTTTGCGCCAGACTAAGTAGTACCGACGCTTCCAGGACCGACTGAGACAACAGTTTCTTCCGCTTCGCGACGGGGGATCCCGCCTAGGGCGACTCCCATCATTCCGATCCGCCAATATCTAGTAACAGGTTAGGGCATTTAAGTGTGAATATAAAAGCACGGGAAAAGAGTAACGAACAGATTGACGTAGCTAATGCCGATGAAATCATTATTGACCAAGACCTCGCCATTGCTAAGAACAGGGACTGGTAAGTCAGTCTTGTATTGTAAGACTTCAGGTCCGCCAAGAGTCTTTATCTGGACGCCATTCATGGGTTTAGTAATAGAAACAGAATTCATCATAAAATGTAATAGAAGTACTGAAGGCGTTGAAAAGCCAGTAAAGATGAAGAAGGGTCTCTAAGCTTGCAATGCAATGAAACACCAATTGATGCATTCGGGGGTGCAACGGATTGATATTGTAATTCGGGACAGGGGTATGGTGTAAAGCCAGACCTTGGGTCATGCCTGACAGCTCCATTGACTAGATCTTAGGTCATTCAGCCGGGGGTATAAATTGTTTGTCAAACATCTGATGACCGTGGGTGTTCAGTGTCTACGCTCCAGGGGTTGAGAAATGATAACCACGACATTCAGAGCCAACTCCTCGAGTAATCTGTGGCTGTCAAGGTGCCTAGATTCATGCCTTCGGACCTTCGCGCACAATTTAACTCGCATTTTTCCAATGCGTCGGTTTTGATGGCTCACATGGCCCCGGGAAAGGGAATACATTGTAGCGGCCAGGGCCAGATTGAATGTTTTTGGGTGGTTTCTGCCTGGATGCGCTTGATTTTCAGCTGGGTGATTAACTATAACAGAGACCTTAATCAGCAAAGTATCTATCTTTGGAAGTTCAGAGGTCTTTCAGGTCGTCAGGTTTTAGCCGATAAAATTGATAGACCGCTTTACCAGGATATTACGTAGCGGCTCTGAAGGATTGGAATGTACAGATTGTGTGATAAACACTGTATGCCAATCAATATAGCCTGAACACCAGCACTGTAAATTCTCGGTTGCTTCGACATCACCAGCTTGTCAACCCCTTAGCCCTATCAAATCCCCCTCTAAGTTGCGAATCAGGATGAACAACCTTTCCTTCCAGGATTGTGTAATTCACAATTCCTTCACAATGCTCCGGCTTGACCCTAGCCAACCAGATCATTTGTTGTTCTTTCTTCCGATAAATCAATACATTTGCAGAGAACTTGTGTCCCCCAACATGGGAGACGAAATAAACCCCCACACCACCAGGTCGCTCATCATCCATATCTCGGTAAAGATCACGTCCGCGTAGATGTCGCTCCATCTCCTTTTTGATCAACGGTGCCGTAATTCCACAGCGCGCATCACGCCGCTTGTGCGAGCAAAGCAGGACTACGTAGTCGTGTGGACATGGCCGAGAACTCAATCGGGGACTGCTAATGGACTGAGTTGGAATACCCGATGGTACGTCAATGAAAGTTTCCACCACGTGCTGGGCGTCTGAGTAAGAAACATCATCAACAAAGGTAAATGATGGTAACAGGAGGACTGTTGTCTTGGAGCTATTAGGCAAATCTCCACCCGGTGGAGTGAGGTTGGATGCGGAGATCATGAGACGCTTTTTCACACGTAGTTAGCATAATTCCAAGGTTCTACCGTCGAATCAAATAAACAAACACCGTGCTTGGACTTAGAGTCCGATTTAAACGCTTCCATCAAGCTCCCATCCTCTTGTTCGACCTTTCGAATCCAATCTGATTTTCCCGTTGCAACGAGTATGTGCGCGTGGAACTCTTTGATAAAACCGTACATCGGGAGAGTAGTGTCAATCTTGACGTTTGAAGGACATTTTACGGTGCAGTCATTGCAGTCGGTGCGGCAGTCATCTCCGTCGACTTTCGGGTCAACTTCAGGAAAGATGTATTTCGGACGTCTGCCAGTGATCGCCAGCAGTGAGCGAAACATGATGGGTGCACTCAAGCCTTTTTTTAATAAAGCAGAGAGAGTCGAAGAGTTGAGAATTGTGAAAGTGTATCCGTGTTATAACGATAAAGTTATTGTCTTGGGGGTATGGCAGTGAACAGCGAAATAGAGCTGCATTCCTATGAAAAGAGACGGCGAGGAAACGAAAGAGCGAGAGTGAGGATGGGAGAGAAGAGAGGAGCGCAGCTATCTGCCACTAGGCTCCTTTCATTTCTCACCTCAGGACGTCAATCAATCATTTCGTTTGAGATTTTGTCGAAAGCTATGTTACAATACATGACTGGGAACCCGAGTATTCAACACCTCGGAAAATACATGGACCGCTATGATAGTGGGCCCCATACAAATTGCATATTAAGCTTAGTCAGTTATGCCCCAGCAAATTGTCAAATGGGGGATTCTTGTCATTTTAGTTAGTTAGAGTCATACACATCTGTCATTTTGAAACATACATTGCTGTACCGGTGATTTCCAACAGATTTCAATATTTTGACACATCTCGATCAGGCAGTGACGGGGCTCGGATTTAAGATCCCAATTGGTAAATATGCCGAAAGACCGAAAGACCGAGTTTTACTTTATTTTGTATCTCCGGGGATGGTGCTAGCCAATAACAGACACCCTAACGCGAATGACAGCAATGCAGGTACCCCTTTATTCCTGTAATAGAACCAGGTAAGCCCTTGAAATATAGTACATTCATAGTATGACGGTGAATACGGAGTATACCGAATCAATTGGCGTTCCCCAAATATGACAAAGTACATCGTGAGTGGCTACCCCCGATAGTGTATCTTCATCCGGGCTTTCATTTGAATGATGTGAAGAAATGAAGCTAAACCTTAGGATTGACATGTAACTCAAATACTGTCAAAGGGTGCTGGTTGCTGTCTATTCTCATCTATACAAGCCTGACATCTGCTGTTATTACTCAACCAACAGGGCTTGCAAGGCAGCAGAGCGAATCCACAGTCAGTCGTAGATTGTCACAACTGGGGGGTTTCAAGGTGAGACAAGCTGCTAATATCCTCACGGGAATGTTGCATTTTGAAGTCCAGCAAACTGCGTAAAAAGGTATGGATATGGGTGGGTTGAAGGCGGCTATTTGGCTGCGGATGATCTGCAATTTGAAGTGATCTCGGAGCGGGAGCGGGAGCGCGTGGGAGTGGGGAGAGATGCTTCGTCCATGGTGTTTTTATTCATATATGGGTGGCTGAGATACTAATTATATCATTGCATGACAGCAAAATAATCGAGATAACAAACTGCCGTTGATTTTAGACGGGGTTAGACAGGAAGATTCGCCGTTTGTGGCGGTATGCATAAATGTTACAATGTGACGAAAATACTAGTAGGAGTACAAGGTTCAAGATCAGCTGAGACATTGTATGACCTATCTTCCTCTGATTTAGTCAATATTTTGTCAAGCGTGCTACTGTTGAGGTCTCAACAACGATGTTCATTTTAGATATACAGCTCAACCTTACAGCTACACCTAGACCTTCCGCGTAAGACAAAGTGTTCAATCACACCAAAGCATCGGTCGTCATAATCTCACCAAAAGCCAAAAGCGGAAATTCCGTGAATTGAAGAGCAGCAAAAGAAATCCCGAGCCCGATCAGCCATTTCCCTCGGCTGAGCCACCCAATCTAGTAATCGTCGGATATATCGGATTTTCCCATTTCGATAATCTGGCAACAGCATGCGGCGAGGTGTAGATATAAATACTAGCTGGCTAGTATTTTAAGAACCAACAAAATCAGAAGCTCTTTCTTCAGAAACTACTATTCACTACACTACACTCCTCACCGTCAACATACAAACATCATGACCGAATTCGAGACCGACGACTCCAAAGCCCCGTCCTACACCTCCATCGACCCAGTCGAGTTGGAAAATGCCGAGAAACAAGAACAAAAACAGTAAGTATTTGGGAACCCCACAACTCTATATTGAGTTGGAACGCGGCAGGTGTTAATCAAAGCCCGATTAGTACAAGCCCCAAGGTGGATTGCTTAACCCACGGACCCAGCCAGGTCCCACTTCTCGATCTCGAATTGCAGAAGCCGCAGGCAAAAGATATCATACGCACACTAGCAGCAGCATTGAATGATATCGCTGATGAGAAGAAGTGTACCAAGTGCACGGTGGAGAATATTTCGACTCTACTCACAGGCCACGTCCGGGATCTCAGAGCCGCGAAGCGGAGTGGGATGTGGTCCAAGGAAGACAAGAAGGCCCTTAAGACGGAGATTAAAGGTCTTCTCAAGCCAGTCAAAAAGGATGTGAAGAGCTTATGGAAGGCGAATTAATGACCGTATATTTTGCTTTTAGTTCAAAGTGGCAAGTGCCCAGGTGTACACTAGGAGGTGCTCTATAATGTAATCTCATTTTTGGCGTTTTTATTTACCACGGTGATTAAAAAGAACTAGAAAACAATGGAATTTCCATACCTGAGAAAAATGCTTCTTAGCCTGTAGATCTAGAATTCTTTTCGAGCCTTGGAAATAGGATTTTTCGTGTTTTTGCTACATGTACATCGGCTGCGCTCACTGAGCATCAGCTAATCAGCCTGATCCCCGAAGAAAGTGCTCTGACTTGATCACTATATGTACTCAGGTACTCAGGTCAGCGTCACTTGAGCAGCCCGGTCCACTAAGAGAGCAGCTAATTACAATGCAGCTCACCTCACTAAAATGCTCCACACTAGCCAAATTGGACAGGCTACTAGTTTATATCATTGCGGTCCCTCATAGAGGATTCGTGTGTAAGACCTCACTATTCTTTATGGTCTATATACCGCTTTCGAGCCAATATTCCTCTATTGCTTCGCCGCTGTGTACCGATTGCAGGTGACTCAGCTAATCACACCTGTTTCCCTTTTTTGTTTGTGTTCCATGCTGGACTCCATCTTCTGTTCCTTGAATGGCCAGGGCATTTTTCCATTCTCCCACAGCAATTGTCAATACGATCAAAACTCTACCCCCAATGTCTGCGGTGGCTTTTGGTGTCAAGCATGATTAACAATCATCGTACACAGACACAATACATATTCCACTCCAAATGATGCCCAGGCCCCATGGTGTGGTGTGGATGCGTGCGCTGCATCCCCAACGGAACATATTGGCTATTCGCTGTATTTTGACACAGGATATTCGTCGAGGTCAAAAAGTGCCCATTGATCGAGCTCTTCGGGAAAAAAATCTACTAGATTACGTACGAGGAGAGTCTTTCCGATATCCACAGGCGATGGTAGGTTTGTCGAGCGGCCAGTCCTTGGCGGTTGAACTGATGGTGTTCGTGTGGTAACCCCGAGACAAAGCCCAATGGGGTTAATCTCCGGGAATTTCCCAATGGATTTAACATATTAGGAGGCTCAATGATGAAGTATAAAAAGGATTTTCCAGATGAAATTTACCTTTCATCTATATCTTCAATTCATCTCTGATCAATATCACTGCGAAAAATGAACATGACCGACAAGACCAGCGAGGAGTTTGCTCTCCCCCAAGAATCTATAGAAAAGCCCGCCGGGGGGCCATCTCCACCACCGAACGGCGGTACTTTAGCATGGCTCAATGTACTGGGTAGTTTCTTTCTTTACTTCAATACCTGGGGAATCTCAAACACTTTTGGCGCGTACCAAACCTACTATGAGTCCGGGGCTCTCTTCCACTCGAGCTCGTCCGAGATCTCCTGGGTGGGCTCAATTGCCGCATTCTTGCTGTTATTTGTTGGACTTTTTGTCGGACCAATCTATGACCGCGGTTACCTCCGAACACTTCTCATTGTGGGCTCTCTCATGGTTGTTTTCGGACACATGATGCTGAGTCTGTGCTCCGAATTCTGGCAGGTTGTGTTGGCGCAAGGATTCGTCGTCGGAATCGGAACAGGTTGCCTATTTGTTCCATGTGTCGCCATCATTCCTCAATACTTCACGACTAAGATGGGTGCTGCAATGGGCGCAGCCGCTTCAGGGTCCGCACTTGGCGGTATCATCTACCCCATCGTTCTGTACCGACTCATCGACCAAATCGGCTTCCCCTGGGCAGTGCGCGTTATCGGATTCATTGCAATGGGCACACTTCTCGTTCCAATTAGCATCATGCGTCTGCGTGTGCAGCCACCCAAGGTGCGCGCCATGATCGACCCCACCGCGTTCAAGGACCCGGCTTACCTGGCTTTCGTGTTCACCTCGCTCATTGCTTACATGGGGCTGTTTGTTATTCTGTTTTACCTCTCCTTCTTCGCAGAGGCAACTCGCATCACAGATAGCAGTCTAGCCTTCTACTTGGTACCCATCTTCAACGCAGCTTCGGTCTTTGGTCGTACAATCCCGAACAAGCTCGCCGACCGTTTTGGCCCCTTTAACCTTCTCGTTCCCGCTGCCCTATCCTCGGGGTTGTTGATGCTCTGCATGATGGCAGTGCATTCAAAAGCTGCAGTCATTGTTATGGCAGTGCTATCTGGCTTCATGAGTGGCGCGCTGATCGGACTGCCGCCTATGTGTCTGGCCATTCTGACGGCGGACAAGTCGAAGTTAGGCACCCGTGTTGGCATGGGGTACGCAATTATCGCACTGGGTGTGCTGGCTAGTGGTCCTAGCAGTGGTGCAATTCTCAGGAACGGTGGAGCATCGCTTGACTGGCATGGTTTGTGGGTGTTCGGTGGCGTTCCTACCTGCGTGTCGGGACTAGGCTACGCGGCAATTAGGGTCTTCAAGTATGGGCCAAAGCTGAATATCAAGGCTTGATAATGGGGGTTGGCCATGAGAATAATAAAAGTGAAATCGGTTTGCTGGAATTTGGGGCGGATGTTATATACCCTTGACCATGGGATTTAATATTAATGCAAATCAACACTAAGATCTAAATTTCCATTAGATGTACCTGTACTGTATACTCGACCTCAGAGGAATGTCACTAGTGGTCCTAGCTAGTAGAAAAGAAACCTGCGCCCTCTAGAAAATGAATACTACACAGTAAGTGATCTACCAAAATAATCGTTTTTACAAAGGGAGGTTTGGACGGAAAGAGAGGAAGAAAGAGCGGGATAAATAATGATATATCTGACTATATCGTAATGTTATGAGGGGCCTGAAACCGCTCAGCAAACATTCAAATCGGACGCCACTCTTATTATAGCCAAGTAGTTCTCGATGAATTTAGTCAAAAACAACGTAATGTGCTAAATTTCCTCTCTATCTTATATAGCAGAGCTTAAGTATGAAAAGCAAGCTTATTCTCCCTAAATTTCGTCAGCAACGTTTATGTGCTACGCTGTATCCTATTTTCTACAGCCGATCCAAAGTATGAGATATATGTGAGAACAGATACAGCATGTTAAATCGCTTGTCATTGATTGTCATTAAGGAAAGTGGTTGGTATACACAATGTTCAGCTCATAGTCCGATGCATCATTTCATGTTCAAGGGAGAGCAGCAGGGGCGTAGCTCTGGTCGGGTTTGACAACCACACCACCAGCAAGCTGCTTATCGGTGTAAGCAGGCCAGATAATCTGGCGCGATCCGTTGTCGACAACAGAGAGAGTAGTGAAGCCATTCCCCTCACCGAACTGGCCGCTCCAGCCGGAAGTGACGGTGTATCCGCCGCAGGTGGCGGGGCCGCCGTTGGCACGGGAGGCAGGGCTGCCCCCAACAACATAGGTGCAGGGAGTGGCGCTGCCAGCGCCGGGGTAGATGCCGAATGTCCAGGTGCAGGAAGTGTCCGCGGCGTTGCATACACGCTTGGTGTTTTGGAGGGTCCACTGAGGGCTGTTGGCCATCATGGACTTAGCAGAAGTGTCGGCGGGGGCAGCGAAGGCTGAGGAGGCCAAGAGGCCGGTAGCGAGGAGGAGCTGAGTGAGCTGCATGATGGTGATGGAAAGGTTGAGAAGTTGGTTGGATTGTTTGGTTTTGAGGTATGTTGATGAGAATGAAGAGGAAAGCCTGGGAGAAATGAAGCTATTTAAGTCTTTCCTTCCATATGTGATATCAAGTTTGAGCTCATTGCAGGTGACATTCATTTGTTTCGTCAAGCTCGAAATAGAATAAACAACCAAGATCCACGGATGTAACGTCAAGTCAGGTAACTCCTGGAATACGTTACTCCACAACAGTGTCTTAATTATGTGCGGTCTACGGAGTACTCCGTACGTAGAAGTGAGACAGCCCTACCAGCTATGATTTGTGCATTCTTCTCTGTTACATCTTTTGTATTTCTCCACATGGCTGCCAACATAAATTCCGTTTTTATCCAAGACATCTTGAAAACCCAACCAATCAGCTGTTAGTGTAGCTCCAGGTTCACCCCGCAAGTGTGGTCAGACCGGCTGTCGATCACCGATCGATGACCCTGTGCCATATCCGCTTATACGAAGTGTTGAATATTGTATGGCCTGACCTTCAAGGGCTGATATTATTTTCAGAACCCTGTAACCCCGGTTACGGACCCCACGATTTTCACGCCACCCTCAGGAACCTTGGAATGGTGCAAAGGAAGAATGATAGATGTGGAATTGGGGCCTGAGGCGGATGTTCATTGGATGAGGACACTGTCTTGGTAATAACCTTGGAACATTGTCTAGGACATCCTTCATGAATAGCCCACATACCGCCTTCCCCGGACCGCATTCCATATCCGGGACAATATTAAATGGTTAGAACTGTATTTAGATACATTTTTACCTAGGTTTAGTGGACATTAATTGATGAGTAACTCGCTTTTGAGAAGCCGAACTCCGCCAGGCCCCCTCATCTCTGTTCTGGAGGGTTGAGGCCCAACCAGAGCGGTTCAGCTTATGACCAGTCTTCTTTTTTTCTTCTCTTTGCCACACCACAGCCTCGAAATTCTCCAAGACTACTCATAGGATATTGCAGATGAGCCTTCGATTTATTGTTCGGTAGGCATCGAAGATGAACAGATCTCAAGTAATCTGGGGGCTGCAGTATCCACAGATTCAATGGTCCTTTGCCCCCGCTCTTTCGTATTTTGTAGGCAGTGACCCCCTCGTCGGTAGCTTTTCGTTCGTTGCTCAAATATAGAAGTGAGTTTAATACTTTTGTATTGGTTGCTATTTCCGTTGAATGTGCTTTGAGGCCGTGAGGGTTTGCGGTTTTTTTCTGGGTTATCAGGCCGGAAGCCTTGAAGGGCGCGTTTCTTGAAATATTGATTCACATGACGTATTGCATTCAGCTAGCCATGGCCCAGATCCGACTGCCTCTTTCCAATTTCCCCCAGAAATCCTCGACCTAAATTATCCACTGCGTACCGAAGGAGGTGGACAAGAGCGTTGCTGATAGTGGTGGAGTCGGGTTTTACCGCGTTGGTGACCTTCCAAGGTTGGAATGCACAACGCACTTGCCTGGTTAGGAAGGCGGTATGCGGACTATTTATAAAGTATATCCACCTAGGCAATACTCTTACCACAACCATATGTGTCCTCATCCAATAAACATCTTTTGGCCTCCGATCCCTATCAACGTTTCTTTCGTAAAAGCAGTTTGAACCGTTTCAGAGCCCGTGGCAAATTTGATCTTGATGATGATCCATGGTTCACTAGCTATGGGGGCTGAAAGGCAGTAGGTAAACCTAGTCAGCGATCTACCCGTACTCTCGGTCCGCGGAATACCCGGGCAGAGATTGTACCTTCCAAGTGCGATCACATTCGTGTTGATCGAAGGATCTTCTTGAATGGATGACATGGTGAGATGGGATGGGGAAGTGGGTGATCCGTTGACACGTCCGGTTGGAACGGTCGCCTCAAGAGGTGGATGGCGCTCGTTGTGATTATGGGGTTGCAGTCGACCTCGACTTCATGGTGAATGAGCCATCCATCGGGGTCCTTGAAACCGAAGTGCACATGGAAAGTACTCAAATAGAGGAAGCTTCATCTCTTATTGTGGCGGGATTATTGAGAGGTCGCGGGGAATATGTTTGCAAGAGACTGGGCTAGATATCCACTTCCTCCATGGGAATGGATGTATATGGGCATGAGCTCATGCTGTGGTCCCCTAAGTGGAAGACCAGTTTACCAGTATGGAATCATGCAAAGGCTAGAGCCGAGCTGAGCCCTGTCGGGGACAATAGGTCATGATACCAACACCATAATTATATACAATCACAGGAAAGTCTAGCTTGAGATTGAAACGTGTCTTGCTCGGTGACGAAGTCCAAAGGTAGAGGGCAAAATGGGATATTGAATGGGCCTCACTTCTTCTTTACTCGGTGGTATACATGACATCCGTCCGCAGGGTGTACTTGACACCTCTAAACACATCATCTCCACCATGGAACAAGTTTCTTTGCTGGAAGATCAGAACAGATCCCGTCTTTGGAAAGACCCGAAGCGATTCCCTCCAGTTGAGCCCAGCCATAAATGAGGTTGCACCACCTAGAAGAGCTTCGTTCTTCTCCAAAGACTCTGTAGCCGAAGTACAACTCCCATCATCAACTTCAGCTTCCTCCGACTCGACTTCAGCAAGATTAATCTCCCAATTCTTTGCAAACAGCAAGTTAGTATTCTCCGCCCGCTCAATATGAGGAAGCAACTCCTCCATATCCTGTTCCCCTTCTCCATTCAAATACAAGTGAATAGTGTAAAGCGACTTCTCTAGCCCATCAGGTGTAACAAAACACCCGTCGCAATGATGCCGGAAATAATCACCCCCCTCATAACGCAGGAACCGAAGACGCTCATTCAGCCGACTGAGACAGAGCACTTCACCCCGTTTAGCTGGCCCAAGACCCGTAACTAGGGGCTTTCTCTGGACGCGGTCGAGTTCGCATTCGCGCATGAAAGGCATCATTCGGTCCAAGATTCTGGTTGCAAGATCGGGTGAATCCAATATGATCCGTCCGCTCTTCCGTGTGTCAATGGACATTACTTGTCTGCCGCCGCCGGCGTTGACCATTGCATGTTCCCATACGGGGGGCGAGAGGGTTGAGTCAGGGAGTTGACTTCTTGTTGATTCTTCTGCTAGACGAACGAGCTCTTTGCATTCGGCTTCGGTCATGAAGTTGTCCACTATAGCGGCGAAGTGGCCTTTGTATTCGGGGATCGGTGGGGATGTGCGCTCGAAATCGAGTTTGTGGAGGGCTGCGTTTGGGGCTGGACCCCGGAGGAAGCTATCTGAGATGTTCGGTACGGTCATTGTTGATATTGTGGCCTCATCAGCTGGTAATGTTTTAAATGCTTTTTTTTGGGGTGTTGGGGGCTGAGTTGTGTATACCCCACTTTTTGAGGCTCTGCTGGGGGCTGTAGCCTCGGCCAAGAATTATGATAGGCTCGGTAGTTTCGGGCTAGTATAGATAGGTGATGGGATTGAAAGGAAGTTGGTGACTATGAAGATCAAATATGATACATAATCACGGGAGTAGTCATGAAGTTCCATGGCCACCAATTGATGTTCCCTTCCAAGTACTTACACACACTTTATACCCGGGTTTCAATGCGTCCAACCCTTTTTGGGATGAGCGGCTTCTTAAATGGAAAATGCTACGTGAAATATTAAAGGATTCTAATATTACCTCAAATGCTGAGCCCTGGGTATTCCAACCATCTGCGCCGATGCCTATTTCGGACAGGCCGCGCCTGTTCTCACTTCACTCTAGACCTCTTACTTTGCTATCGTTCTCTCCCACTTCTCTCTCAACTTATCACATCGCCTTACCTTAGCAATCCCACTTTTCTCCCACCTTGCTATCACCTAGCGCGAAACAAATGCTGTCCACGGCCGCATCCACTACCTTTCAGAAGGCCAGTGCTCATGCACTGAGCTATTTTTCAACGTCGGCAACGCCATCTCCATTTAGTTCAATTTCTGTGGATATACACGGCTTCCTCAAGTCATCCCACCGTGTTGGAGGCCCTATACTGTGCTCACTCCCAGCTTTAAGCACTGGGAGGGCTCCTGGTATAAATGCCAGCCTTTCTTCAAAATTGAAAGACCATACAGCACATATTCTAAAAGAATTCCCACTTGAATTTATCTTTGTTACGCTGATTGGGCGCCGTTCCAAGGTTGACCGGGAACCAGAGCCTATCCCTACTATCCTTATTGTGATGCCAGATAAGCTAACCCTGACATCTGGTATATTGCTATAGGTCGTATTTATTTGGAGCTCGAAGGGGATATTCCCGGAATCTCCGTTGAGTTAATCGAAGAAAGGCTACATAGGGGGATCTATTGCTCCTCTGTGGGCAGTTCGCATCCGATCTCTCCGAAGTGGCCCTCAATTGTGGAATACATTTTGTCACACTGTGATATTCGCGAGTAGACCTCCTTGGAATGCTGGAGATACGGCATAGAAGAGCTACCTGTCACTGTTATTGTTAACATCCACAAAACAAGCACGAGCCTATCTATCACAGCAGCCCGGGATCTGCATAAAATCCTTGCGCTCTTTGACATGGGAGATGTGGATGTGCTATTTCAAAGAGATAGCTCGTGGGGAAACTGAAAGTTGGTAATGAATGTCATTCAACTGGGACAATGACCTTGATAGCCGACATCCAGAACGACATCCAGAACGACATCCAGAACGTCACCGGTGTTACCATGTGCGCGTTCGCCCGGTGCCAGATATCTGACCTATTCTGTTCTCATATATTTGCTTTGTCTTTACATCTCCGATTGAACAAGACTAATCATCCCGAGAGATGGAGTCACCAAGCTCCAGAGGTATCGTGCCTTGTGATTGCTAGGTAGCCGATACAGCCTTTATTCTTAGTTTATTTTACCATCCATTCAATTATCACTCCAGTCACGAATTGAACAATACTCGTACTACTCGCCTGTTTTCCCATATTCATCTAGCTAAAAAACCAATAAGATGCAGAATATCAAAAAAAGGACATCCAAACAGAATTGTAGAAAAGCCCTGAAACATAACAGCTCTTTTATCTTTTACAAATATATGTATAAATTAGATCACCGAGTAAAGAGGCCGCTGATGCGGCCGATCATTCTTATTCAATTACACTCTAGCTATGACAGGTTTTAAATCGGCGTATATCAGTCCTCATCTGAAAATCCATATATATTGACGAGCAAGTTCTATCACACTGGGTAATACCCCCAAACGATTGATAAAAAAGACATTTGCATCTCCTCAAAAGTCTCCTCAAACATACCCCTCGTCAGACATATCAGCCCTCTCGGTTCTGCTGCCTTTTCAAACCATGGATCCACTCGTTATTCGCTTGGAGAATCCAGCGAATCTCATCTTTGCATTGACCTCCAGGCAGCTTCAGTGCGTCGTCAACGGAAGTATGGAACTGGCAAAGCATCTAAAACTAATTAGTGATTATCCAGAAATTTCAAAAGTTGGTCTTGTAAAATGATAATACCTCGACGCACTGATCAATAGCTAGACTGCAGTGTTTGCATAAGGTTCCGTCACACCTGAAATTGGCATGCCTCAGAACTGGGTCTGTGTGGGAGGAAGCGGACTGGCTGGGCTCGCCACACGTACTCCACGCTTCTTGTTCGGCTTCCCTGGCCTTTCGGTTTGCGATGCGAGATGAACGTCTGAGGCGTTGATTTGCCTCGGCATGAATGCCGAAGAATTGAGATGGCTCGCTTATGCTGCTCATGGTGAATTCAAGGCGTGAAAGTTGCTTTGCAGATTGATACTGATATGTTCTGATATAGGTTGATCAAGTTTGACCATAAGCATTGGAAAATGGACTCCAGAGATTTTTATAGACCAAACGAGGCCGAGACATCGTGATGGAGAGCTCATTCTACAAAGAAACCTGCAGAATTGAGACAACGGAGAACTTGTTCCATCCAGTGTCTAGAACTTCCCAACCCAACAAAGCAACGTCTATTCGACCAGACGGGGCGCCTTAGAATTCCTTGCATATAGATCATCATGGAACTGCAGTGATTCTTATTCTTCAAAGCCGCAAGTTCATCAACAAAAAGCTGGTTTCAACTTGGACTCACTCAGAGTAAGACCGTTTACCAAGAGTCAAAGACATAGGCAGGATGGTGAAACAGCAATTCAAGACAGTTACAGGAAATTAAAGGTTTTTCATGCTGAATTACTCTTATCAAATATGCAAAGGAAATGGAATTAAAAAGCACAATGTTCCACCTCAGCAAGGATAACAGAAATTATTATGTAATCACTACAACAGCCACTTGTGGCGCAAGGTATTGTGGCTGGAGTTTCCTGATTGGTTCACGGCCCATCTCATCTCTCCCATCCTCTCCTTCTCGCATTACTGGAGCACCTTTAAGCAGCAAAATATCATTATCTTGATCCAACTTCAAAACACCCTCTCTTACTCAGGTTCTGGACATTTTTATCTTGACATTTCACTATATTACAGACAACACAGGGTGATCTTAATGCCCACAAAACAATCACTACGATACCTCGTTGTCTTTCGCCTTACTTGATTGTCCATTTCGCAAGTCAAGCGCCTATTCAAATATATAAATATATATATTACTCACCTCCCGAAGACCAAATTTCCGCATCTTTGGGGTGGATTTGACCATTTGATCAAATACCTCACCAAAAGCGATGTCAACCGCCCCGGCGATGGCTACTACCAACCAGAACTCCATCCAAGGGCCAGTAACCGGCAACAGTGATGCCTCAGGGCTGGACTCAGAGATAAAACTTGTTTCATCACTAGCAAAACTACAAGAACTCGAACGCAAGGTAAGTACATGAGCTGTTACAGCTCTGCCGCAAAATTAAGTTAACGAGATATCCAGATACATGAGCTGCGTGGATTCATGCCCCAGGGACTACTGGAGCCGCTGGTGCCTATTTCAAACCCAGATAAAGTGACACTCGGCAATCCAATCGCTGAAACTCCCCGGATCCTCCGGGCTAGTCTGGACGAGGCAGCACGCGCACGCGTTGCTGATGTCCAGCAATTTCAGTCCTTGTGGCGGGACCCGGAATTGACATCGGTATGGGCACATGTTGAATCACGCATCAAGGAAGCCAATGGTCAGCTTCTTCAGCCGACCGGGAAGTGGGAAAGAGATTATGACGTTCTTCTGGAAGAACTAGCACAGAAAGAAAAGTCAAAAGTAGATGAGCATCAGCGAGAGGATGAGGAGGCTGAACGTATTAAAGCGCAGTCTACTGAAGGCGAGTGGAAGAATGTTTTGGAGCGGTTTATTCAGCGGGATATGCCCGGTGTACGGGTAATCACAGGCCAGGATGAGACATCTCTAGCAATAGCACTTGTTAGAGCTGGTGTCGTCTTCCAGGTGAAAGGCGTATCTCTCCCTGGCTGCCCGGTCTCTGACTGGGAGATCTCGAGCAAAATCGCTGGCCGGTCACCCACAAAACTCGAGGATGCTATACTAGAATGTGTGAGGTCACGCCAGCGGAAATGGGACCTTGCTTTCTTGCTGGTATGATCTGTTCCTCACTCTGAAGGAGACTCCTGCTAATGCCGATGTAGGACATGATCTCTTCTTACGCGGATATCAAGCAAACACCATGCGTGAAGTGCAATCGTCTGACTGATAACGGCGCCCAACTGCCAACTCTCCGCCGCCCTCAGGCGAATCAACAGTCTGTTAATGGACCAGCACGTGTATACATATTTGATGCATTGCACTTTGGATGTGTCTGATTGAACCGTCTCCCTATATCAGCCTAACCCATTCTTGTTACTTAGAGGGGAATTTTGGAAGAACGTTAGCCCATTGGGAAATATCCATCTTATCTTGGTTTTGAGAAAAAAAACTGATTGGAATCATTCAAGCGAACTACTTGGATTTAACAAACACAATATCATCCAAATTATCCTCTCACCACCCCATATATCTCTCTCTCATTTTATTTCAAGCACAACTTCCCACCGCGTGTATTCCCTTCAATTCCCTTCAATTCCCTTCAATCCCCTTCAATCCCCGTGCTTCCCATAAATGCTATCGTGCCAAAATTCCGCTGGATACTCAACTCCATTCCGATCCCAATATCGCCTCGGCACACAATGCACCTCCTCCTTCCCAGTCCATTCCCCTCTCCGAGCCCTTCTCCCATTGCAATACTCAACAGCACTCCACGTCCCATGGTCCGGAACGTGATACTTCCTCGTGCGGAAATCATAGCGCTCCCCTGCAGGCCGCCGTGCCCAGGGTATTGGGTTGTAGCCTGACTCAGGGTCGTTGGGGTTGATCTCCCATCGGGACCATTCTTGCCTTGTAGTCCCGGACTGGGGTCGAGAGGGTGAATTTCTGGTCTTGTTTTTGGGCTGGTCGATTCGGCCCACGTAGATGTCTGGCCCTTTGCTTGTTAGGACATCAAAGATGCGCCAGCGGCGCGGCCAGTGTTTTGGGTTGCCGGGGCGGGGATCTTTGGGCCAGATCCAGCCTAGTTGGGAGGGCATTGTGTTTTCTTGGCTCCAAATATTCTTCTCGTGGTAGCTTGGAGGTTGATGTTGAGTGTGGAAGGCTTAGGATAGATGAAGTAGGCTGGAGTTGGTTTCATGGATTGGAGAGAAGGTAGAATGAGATTAAGTAGCTCTTTTTATATTATATGCCCTAAGGTCTCAGTCAATGAATGAACCACTTGAATAGCTTCCTGCAGCTTTCTTTATCTATAAGACAGATTCCAATTTCCAATTGTAAGAACTAAGACATCAGGCTTCCTTTTGTTTTCGTTTGTCTTTGCTCAATAATGGAAACAATCGCATGGGAAGTGGAAATGAACGCCTCAAAACTCACAATGAGGGGAATATCACGGCTGCGTGCATAGTATATACCCTTTACGCAAAAAGATGATTCAGACGCTCAACAACTAATGCACTTGGCCATCCAGCCAGTAGAAAGGCAGCAAGGCAGCGAGTTCTGCTTGCTTGCTTGCAGATAACAGAGTTATATTATGTATGCAAAGCCGAAAATACCACGAGGAAAGACATCTTCAATTGACCATGGCGGTTTATTATAGATAAAATCAACAGATAAGTGAAAGGACAAAATGCAAGAAGTGTACAAAAATTAAATAAAGTATCATGCAACGCCGTTCTCTTGCTATTATCGTAAATCCAAATCGCTTCAACAATGTAACGCCCCACAATGGAAAAATATGTTCATGATGAGTCAATTTGAGCGCACCGAGTGGGTGCTTTTCAAATGGTGAGGACGCCAGCACTTCCCGCAAACCAGGTGAACGAAGCGAAGGTGATCACGGCCATGCCGACAGTAAATTTGAGCGCCAGGCGACTGGTTTCGGACAGGGCACCGCTGCAGGTAGCGCACTTGAATTCTAGACAAGGTTAGCAGTCTATTGGAGCGAGAATTGTTGGTTTAAATACTCACCATTGAGTGGGGTGTAAGCCTGGGGGGTGTACATCCCGAAGACATAACCACCGTTCTGCGAGCTCAGGTATCCCGCGCTCGCGGTGTCGCTGATTTCCTTGCTGGCATCATAAACTATCAGAGTATACGACGCGGTAAGCAACGGAATGGTGGCCGATGATTGGTATTTTCCAGTATCCCACACGAGGCTTCCGGTTTGCTTCACGGTCATGTTGGAGCTGAGCGTATATGTCATCGAGTTCATACTGCACGAAGCCACGACGTTGACTGCAGACGGAGTGACCGACAGGGAGGTATAGTTCCACACAAATGTCACATCCTGGCCGATCTTGTAGTAGGTTGTGGAAGAGGAAGCGGGGGTGATCATGGACACGCCGCCAGCAGCGGCAGCAGGGTCAATGGAGATCGAGGATGTAGTAGTCTTGCTTTTTCCGGTCGTCTTTGTGCCAGTTGATGTGCCAGTCGTCCCCGAGTTGGTTCCAGTGCCTGTTGCAGTGTCGGTGTTTGTCCCGGTGCTTGTCCCGGTGTTTGTCCCAGTGTTTGTCCCAGTGGTGGTTCCGGCGTTGGTTCCGGTAGAGGTCCTGGACGCAGTGGAGGCGTCCGTGGTAGATTCAGAGGTTTCAGCGGTTGTTGTGTCTGTGGTGTCTGGGTCGTAGGTCAGCATCAAGGATAATGGCAAGGTCAGAGTCCTGAATTACCTGCTCGCTTATCCAAGGAGTCACCCAAAAATGCTCCATAGGGCCGCCATGGCCAAGCCGATGACATTGTTCCCAGCAACAGGATGGTGCAGAGCACACTCAAAATAAGAAACCGCATGTCGAAGGTTGAAAAGATTATCTGGAGGGTCAAAAATCAAGCGACCGAGATGTTACTCCTGGGCTGAAAGGTGGGCTAGACTGGTCACGCCCCTTGCACAACCCGGTGTGACTTGTCAAAAAAAAAAGAAGAAGGCCTTCTGTGTCAAAACAGGCTTATCGATTTGGTGTCCGTACCAAGCAATTTCGGTTGCTACGGAAGGACGATCACAAGGACGTGGAGTGCAGGATATGTTATTGATCCCTTGGCCAGTCTGGACGCTAAAACATGCAGATCTCGGAAATGTGGATTTTTGATTCGGAGCAACGATTGTAAATAGCTTCAAGGCAAACAGTGAACAGTAAACGAGTGTCTTCCCGGATAATTGAAGGAGGGAAAAAACCAGAGAAAGAGAAGATGCGATGTTTGAGCTGTATTGCGGGGCTAAGCCCAAACGGGTGGTGGCTATCAGATATGTGAGACATCGGCTATTTATAGTGGCTGACAACTATTTGGACTATCAGATGATTTATTGACTGGCTACAACATTATGTTATAGGAGATAACTAAGTGCATTAAGTCTAAGTTAAGGATCGTTCGGATTGGGCAACACAAAGGGTTGGTCTTTGCGAAAAGTAAGCAAAGTTGCCGCATATATCTACCTCTTAATAATGAGCATAAAGACCCTTGAATTTTATGAGCACCAATCATTTATTCTCATTTGCTAGCACAATAATTGCCTTTCATTTATCAGGTTGTATAAAATGACACTAAACTAAAACCCGGGGCTCCGTGCAATATATACTTCACCTGAACAGTTTCAGGGTGATGATATATTTAACAACTATGTACTTTAATGCAAACTAATACTAGGGAGATTGGTATTACTTGCCCATAATCATCAATCAAGGTACAGTACCTCTCCCTGAGTTTTTCCAAGCTCCAATCATCATTCCAAGGCTATAAAACCCAGATAAGCAACATGAGTGACCACCCGTAAACCATGACATAGTATAGTTACACAACACAACAAAACTCCAGAAAAGCTATATATCAATGACAAACTCCTTAACACTCAGCGGCATATGTCTTTTCGCTATCCGAGACATAATTACTGGAATCGATGTTTGACGTCAGCCATGGTGTAAACCGTCACACCTACAATACTGACCAACTAACCCAAAGTACATATCTACAATCGCCACCCAGCTACTGGTACCCAAGGTCGGGCATTACTTGGTTCCGCTTAAGAAGGTCCCCAAACGTGGGGGTGGCGATCTAACCACAACTGATGGCACCCAAAGACTATTGGGAACACAGGGATGGAATGGAATGGATGTGGAAATCTATAATTTGTGGGAAGAATTTGATATCAGAACATTCATAGGATATCCATGGATCCTCAATTGGATAACTAGCAGAATAATCAAGATATTATCAATTAAGACTTGACTTATACGCTGAAATAAGCCAATGAAAGTCCAGTAGAAGTTCCAAATTTTGAAGAGAACACAAACTAGAAGTCACGTATCACAATCTGGTATTCGCTACGAAATAAAAATCCAAAGTCCCTCTAAGCAGAGCTCTTGGGAACAGCATTGAGCTGAATCCTGTCACATCCGGCCGGGACAGCAGGCTCCTGAACAGTCTTGCTGAGGAAGTGCAAGTTGGGGAACAACTGGCCGGCCTCCATATCGGCGGGGCACCCTAAAAGAAAGGAGTCAGCCATGTGCAATAGGCACAATCATGTAGCGCTGGAAAGGAAAGGGAATATGATAAGAACTTACACAACCATCCGTCCCAGGTCTCACTAGGTCCCTCGACGCCGTGGCGGCCGACAGAGAAGCCCTTTGAGCCGCGAGTAGGGTTGATGCTGATCTGGGCGCGCTCCTTGCGGACGCCTATATGGTACCAATGCTGTTAGCAATCTGGGGTCGGGAAACAGTCACATTCAAAAGTAGACCAGGGATATCTTACCTCCCACATTGATCAGGTCCAGAGCCCAAGGGGCCTTAGTCTCGGTATCCAAGACGATGGTGCCGTTGACGAAGGAGAAGACGGCGGCACGGCTGGCCGGGGCTCCGGAGAAGATAGCTTCGTTATTGAGCGGGTCGCTGACCAGGCCGTGACCGACGGAGAGGTAAAGGTCGTTGTGGGAGCTGTTGCTAGCGCCGGAGGTCTTCAGGTTGAAGAGCTTCGGGGATGGGGCGGCGGCCACAGCGGTGGCTAGGAGAGCGACGGTGGCGAAGAACTTCATTTTGGGTGGTAGGTGAAGAAGTTTGGTTGGGGGGTGAATTCAAGTTATGATCGTTTGAGGGGTTTCGATTGTTTTTATATGTTTATTTCAAGAGAGGGGTAGGATTTTGACGGGGAAGTGACGCATTTATATGCTTTTTGATATCCATGGGAGACAGTCGATGAACACATGCTCCACGGTGGAGTATAGGGCTATCGGACTGTTTCGAGTGTCCAACGCTGATCCGGATTCCCCCTAGGTATCCTTGAGATCAAAATAGAAGCAGTCATGGGTAAAGCATCGCTAGACCTGTCGATTGATTGTTCTTCGACTTCGTTTTGACTCTGCACTCTGGCGATGTGGCTCTTATTCTGCCTTTCTTTGTTTTTCTTTGAAACATGCAAGGTCCTGGCTAACTTGAGCAGACATATCTGCTGCAGGATCTCGCTTGACCCACGCTACCGTATCAGAACCTGTATGTATGGGGTAAACGAAAGGACTAACCCACAGGATGCTGATTACAATCGACATCCAGGAAGTCACTAAGTGGGTACCTGACTGGCTATACCATCTAAGCCAGTCATGATTGTGATCGAGTGCAGATCACACCCACTGGTGCGTCTTCTATCCATCAATGGAAGCACCTCAAACAAGGATTCGTGACATCAATGACATGATTTTGCCCCTAGGATTGGGTTTCACAATGATATAAGATGAATTTTGTTTCACAAATGATTTTATAAAAAAGAAAAGGGTCAGGAATCATAGCGAAACCCCTTTGCCACCAAAGTACCAAAGTACGGATTAAAAGAAGTTGACAAACGAATGCCAAGATCGCGTGGAGCCTTTCCCCTGAATCCTGTCTGACTTGTCTATGAAATATCGGGCCGTTGCGACTCTACTTTGTACAAACGAAAATCCGTTGCCTATTCGGCTCGGTATATCCTCGCTTCGATATCCTTTTGCATCATTGATAATCTACACGAACTAGTCCCACCAGAAATAGAACACGGCCCACTAAAAACATTGAAGTTGAGAGTCACAAGAAATATTATTAGAATATGTAGCCCCTTTCTTTGAAATGTTACAGGGGGGAACATGATGTACTTGAAAATTGGCATGTTCTTTCATACTTGGCGTACATCATGGCCAGTCTATATGAACGCATGTGGCTTGAGTTAAACGGCAGCTTGCCTCTATCCGTGTTGAAATGCCTTGGTAATGTCCCACGGGGCGTTTTAAGCATCTGCCTAGTGGATACCATCTATACGACGGAGTGTGTATGTTGTACGATGTACTTATGTATGTCCATCGTCTTTCTGACTGTGCAATTGCATAAGGGTATCGGCATTGTCATTGTCATTCATCGTCTCGGGAAACTCACTATCGTACATGAACATCCCCATAGCAGAAAGAAAGATGGCATGTTCAATTTCTGCTTCGTAAGGGATGCCCTCAGTCCACAAATTTCATTACAAGCCTTCTCACCGTCCCCGATTAGTGGCATTCCGGGCAAATTCAGGCTTCAGAGTCCACCGACCCCGACGATCACGACCATGCTGAAGTGTCGCAACCTTCTTCAATGACTCCTGGAACTCAGCAACACGCTGCGGATTGGAGCAGTAATGATTGAAATGATGAACAATCGACTGCGATAGAGTCGGCCCACGCTGAGAGGCAAGGTAATCACGGATCAAGGGCATGAAATCTTTGCCGCGTGGCATACGTGCTGATGGACTATCGGAATCACTGGCTCTCTGTCCAGCAGCTGCGGCTGCAGCAGGGTTGAGCCTAGCCAACAGGTCCGAGGATGAGGGTCCTACCCCAGCAGGGCGAGCCGAGCTACCACCAGCCCGTGGATCTTCGCGGCCACCCATCCCAAAACGACCTGTCCAGGTGGGAAGTCCGATTGGGAGTGCCCGGGCAGTTTCTTCGGCTTTGCGGAGCTCTTCGGCGGCCTCGTTGGCGACGCGGCGAGCTTCGGCTTCGATCATCTTGGGATCTGCACGAAGGACTCGTTTGCCGTTCACGATCTGGTCGTGCTGCACTGCAGAGTGAACGCCAGAACGAGCGAAGATGCCATGCATAATGCGGTCTTCAGAGGTTTTAGCATTTTTCTCTTCTTCGGCCGCGTTTTGAAAGTTTTCGACATTGGCAATACCATTGATGTCGGTGATGTCGTCTTCCTCCTTGGGAACCGGGGCAGGCTTAATGCTCCTGCTGCTAGGGACATCTTTAGCCTCTTCCTGATATGTGACTTCAGCATTCTTGAAAAGTTTGGTCGTCTCCAACTCGTCGTCATTTTCATCCGTAAGAGTGAACAGATCATAAAGATCACTCAGCTGGAAACCTTCTCGTTGATGAGGATCACGGGTGATTTTATTTGTCAAGAATTGCTTAAAGATCTGGCGATGGTAGATCTTCTCTTCGATAGTGCCCTTGGTCATCAAGCGGAAGATGGTGACATCGCGCTTTTGGCCCAGACGCCATGCGCGCTCTCGCGCCTGCAAGTCAGTCGATGGGTTCCAATCGGGATCGTAGATAATGACACGGTCAGCACCTGTCAGATTCACTCCGATCCCGCCCACACGAGTGGTGAGTAAAAAAACGTGGATATCGGGGTTGTTGTTGAA